ACATCTGTGTGGTTCAGGTGAGAAGCATGTTACATCTGCAAAACCAAGATTTTCATCGGTTGCACTCATCTTATGGTTGTATTGCCTGTTGCTTTCAGGAAGGGAACTATTGCCATGGTCTACTAGGGTACAAATTGCCCTTGATTCAGGTAGATGACTTGAATACATCCATGAACATACTGTTCTATATCCATCGTGATATCAAGTTGGCAAATATTTTGATAGACGAAAACTTCGTGCAAAGGTTGTGAAAACGCATATGAGAATGGTAAATCATCAATCTTCATTGTCTCTTTTTTGACTAGACTAGTTATTCCACAGGTTGCTGATTTTGGGCCGACAAAACTGACAGAAGTTGGGTCTGCTTCCTTGCACACATCTCATGGGTACTTTTGGCTACATGCCTCCGGAGTAAGATTTAGTTGTCTATATGTTTTTTTCTTTTTTGTCAATTTGAGATCACATTTTTTTTGTCTCTGGATTTGGCACTTCAACTTTATTTAGTGAGCCATTCATGCATGTACATAGTCGTTTGAGCTCTTCACTATCAGCCTCAAATCTCAATGACAGCAGAAATCTACTTTGTCTGCCAGCATATCGTCAAATGGAATCAAGGATTATAGAAACTATATGCTTTTAAGGAAATGTAATTGAGTTATTAATGAGTCCAAGGGGATGCTAACAAGTACAGTGGAAAGGTTTTCAGACTTGGGTGATTGGAAAATTGTTGGCCCTCCAATACAGTTCTTATTAGGTTAAGTTTTCATTGTCAATGTCATATGAGTTATAAAACGGGAACAATAAAATGCAAATGTATAATAAAATGTAATTTCCTCATAGACATGAATAAAAGCAAATGATAGTTAGTTACAGAGCTCATGAAATCAAAGCTTTTGATCTCTGTTGCAGTTGTACACTTCACAAATCTTTAGTGCAGGATTTTTCATAAAAATAGTGCCAAGACCTGTCACATTGAATAAAAAATAAGGAACAAAAGGATTCCAGTATAACTTCCAATCAAGAGAGCTTATCCGCAAGTATAGGCTAGTTTCTGGATTCTCTGGATCTATAAGCGTTTAAAGTTTATTTGTTGTAGCCACTTAAACTTTGCTGGACTGCATTTGTCCGAACAACATGCTTTAATTTTAGGCGGCCTTGGGTGCAGGTATGCTCAATATAGTGATGTTTCCCCCAAGATACATGTATATGCTTTTGGGGTTGTTCTTTACGAACTAATATCTGGTAAAGAAGCAATTATCAAGACAAATGAAGTTGTCACTGAATCGAAGGGACTCATTGCATTGGTATGTCTTGTGCTCTCACTCACCTTTCCAAGTAATGGTAACCCTTGAAGTTGGTCCTTTAAAGCTAATGTAAAACTTAACTATTGATATTAAACAGTTTGAGGAAGTACTTAGTCAGACTGATCCTGGAGAAGGTCTTTGCAAACTAGTTGATCCCAGGCTTGGTGACAGCTACCCACCTGACTCGGTGCGAAAGGTAAGCACAAATCCCAGTAATTGCAAGTAATGTAAAAGTATTCTCAAAGTTTAGTGAACTTGAGTGGCTCTTCTCTTTGCAGATGGTCCAACTTGCCAGAGCTTGCACACACGGAAATCCTCAGTTGAGGTCAAGCATGAGGTCCATTGTGGTTGCGCTTATGACACTCTCATCATCAACCGAGGATTGGGACATCGGCTCCTTCTGTGGAAACCAGGGTATGGTTAATCTTATGTCTGGAAGGTAGACTGTGTTACATTTTACCAATTGATGATGCCTTGGGAACTATTCCCCTATAAAGAGGTCTTAGTTACCTGATACGAGTACCACTACCAACTGTAAATGTCTGCAATTGAACTGTGTGAAAGGCCTTGTCGGCGCATTTTTAATCATTCATATAATATTTTTTTTTTGGTGTTTAGGAGGACCATACTTAACTTTTTAGTTTCTGTATATTTTGTGAAGTATAGTTGTGCTGCTGATCATAACAGATGCTATGTTATCTCAACCCCCCCCCCCCCCCCCTTCCTCCGTCCCTCCTCCCAGTTGGTCCTCGCTCTTCCAACAAATGGATCCAGTTTTTGGAATAGATATTGGTTTAACATGGTCCTCGCATTTGCACAGGGATCATAGAGAGTTCTCGGGGTTATTACATATCTCGTCTTAGTTATGTTCTAGTCATTTACTATTCTGAAACATCATCCACAGTTCTATCTCTTGGCTTCAACATATGTTCATGACTTGCCCAAAAACAAAGAAACAATCAGTGTTCATGCCATATGCAACATGAAATTAAAATTTCATTTGGCTTTCTTCCATGGACAGGCCTATAAACTTCCAAATAAGTAAATTATATAAACTATATCTTGGAGAGAGAGTCGTATTAATCTAAAATGTTAGGTGTAACTAAACAATCTTTCTTGCATCTCATTAGTCAAAGAATATCTTCACATTTCAGCCATATTACCAGGATAGGCACTAAAAATCAAGCTTTCTTGTGTATATAAAACCCTCTTGACCCACCACAAATAGTATGAATAATAAGCAACATCCAACTTTTTTCCATTAGTTGGCTTGTCTTTATTGGTGGCTGTCACATAGTGCTTTTGATGAGACACATTTCCATTCCCATCTTTGTTTTCACAAACAAGTGACGTATATTAAAGAATATATAAAATAAGGAGTTGTCTAGAAAAATAAATTTTTGGAATTATACCAAAATTTATTATATTTATAGATATTTTTATCACTGTCATAATACTAAAAAAAAATAATCAAAATAATTACCAAAACAGTGATAAAAATACCCACAAAAATTAATAGAACATTTTTAAAATAGTAAATTTTTGAGGTATGGTATCAAATTTTTTTTATCGCGTAATCAAGTCCCATAAATAAACTCAACCTAATGTCCAAATGTAAAATCAACTAGTCGGAGGAGAACATGAACATCCATTCTATCGTACCCAAATGTACATGGTGTAAGAGTGATTGTGCACGTGTCAAGCTTGCAACCGTGAGACCAAAGGAAACATGGAACAATTGTTGATTTGTCATTTTGATATAAATAGATCAAGGGGGCCTACATCATGCTGTTGTCGATGTGGAAAAGTAGCCTTTGACAAAAAATATTTCTAGATAAGTGTTAAACATTATCATAAGAAAGTAAACAATTGCTTAATAATAAAAATTAAATGAAAAATAAAGCGAGTCTTAGTCCAAGATTAAGTTCGACACATCATGTAGTTTTCTTGCATTTAGAAGTATTTACACGAAGTTAATAAAAAATAGGAATTATATTTAAGAATATATAAAAAATTTGACCAAATCTTAATCAACCACCACTATATATACATTGACTATATGTATTAAATCATGAATTCACACCAAAATTTTGAAAAACAGAAGTCAAATACAACAATATAATAAGATTAATGCGTATGCTTTTGTGCGAACTATTATGATTTTCCAACATTTGGCCACCCCTAATCTTTTTGTCCTTTAATATCACACGGATAATTATAAAAAATTTTACTACCCTTATGTTGGGTCGAAACTAATATTTCATTAAGCCTGCAACTTGGTTGGACAACCCGATTTCAACCCCAACTTAACCCGAAAAAATGAGAACTTAGACAAAGGTTTTTAATACTTGGATTGGGCTTGAGTTAAAAAACTTCAATTCGAATTAAATTTGGGTGGGTCTCGGGTTGACCCCTCGGGTTTATGATTTTGAACCCGAATATTAAAATGGGGCTCAACCAGAATTACTATTATATAAATACAATTTTTGAATGTTATGTTTGTGTTATGTTAAATTAGTTGTTGATCGTTAAATTATGTAATATATTTGTGTTATATTTGAAGTTGTTGGTTGTTAAATTATTTGAATATTATGTAATAATATGTTTCAGATTTAGAACATTAACCCAAATCAGCCTATAAAGTAATTCGAAATTAATTTGAAATCATTATTTTGAATTCAACTCGAGTCCGCTCGAATTAAATTCGGGAAGTACTTGAGTTGAGTTTATCAACCCGTTATAGGGATAGAGTTAGAATTAAAATTGAAAATTATATACCTAAAATTGAACTTATATTCACTATCCAACCTGTTGGAGCCGCGCCCGCGAAATATCCCACCAACTCAGTTAAGACTGCGATACACCTGATCGAGACTCCTCACAAATCCCGACCATACTAGCTGTCCTTATAACTCAATCCCACGCAGCCCACACTGCATTCACGCGTGCCAGCGGCTAATACGCTCCCCACGCGCACCCAGATCGGCCTACAAGTCGGCCTAAAACTAGATGGGGTCAATATGGAAAATCAAAAAAATTATTTGACATCGATACAAATAATAAATAAATTGTTTAATTTCTTAATTTTATGAGTTAGACAATATAAACATAAATATTATATAAGACTAATTTAATTTTGAAATTAAATTTGAGCAAATTAATATTTGATTGATTAGACTTATTTATACCTCAACAACGTTATCGTCACGCTGTGTCACCAACTAACAATAAATTTAACAACTCTATAATTAGATCTTTCATATTTTAGAAATCACGAGTCATGTCACTAGATAACAACCTCATGAAATTTATTTTGTCAAATTATAAATTTATTATAAGACTGTGATATCATGTGTTAATGACGATTTGATTTTATCGTTCACCCAATATTTACAAGAATTTAATTAGAGACCTAATTAAATGCAGACATTTAATTAATTGTAAGTTTTAATCTTGAATGGAACATGTTTTGAATTCAATGGTCACGTTGAATTAAATCTTTAAATTAGTATTATACAACTAAAATTACATAGCTCGTGAAATCACTCGCTCAACAAGCGCGTGATTAACCAGCCCCTCATCTAAACCCATTGGCAAAAAGTAGCCGTTGCTGCGTGCACGTGGCGCGTTGCCGACATCCAACGACTTTACCCACAGTGTCACTTTAAGTTCCCGAAACGGTAAATCTACCAATCTGACGAAAAGAAATTTCCCAAATTTTGTGCTCAGCCAAACGCACACTGTCACGAACAAAATCTCTGCAAGGAAACTTTCCAAAAAAAAAAAAAAACCACAGTATGTGTATGTAGCGTGTGTGTTTTAGTTAACCCACCCAGAGAGACAGAGACAATTTGGCGAATGTTCTTGGCTTTGATTAAGCTCTGAAGCAACCCATCTGGACAATCTTCGATCTAAGGCTCTCCTTATCTCTCTTCCTGCTTCGTTTTTTGTTTTATTCAGTGGGTTCTTGGACAGCTTGCTACTCATTGAACAGAGCTCCCGAAGTATAGAAAAAGAGTAAGAATTTCTTGAACTAGCATTATATTTATTTTTAGCAGATTTTCAATTATCTGTGGACTGGCGTATGAAATTTAATCTGAAGTTCTCGGAAAAATTTCTGTTATGGGGAAAAATTACTTTTTTGTTCGTGATAAGTTTGTTGAAGAAATTTGACTTGGGTAAAGTGTTGTTGCAGTTGGGTGGTGATGACCAAAACTAATGAACTTTGGTTTCTTATGCTTGTTTCAAACATGTTTGTTCGTAATTCTTTGTGTTTTCTTTCTGTATACTACTGCAATTGTGCTGTCAACAGTTTTCGTTAATACATTCGGGAGGAGATGAACATGATTTGATTATTGTGGTTTTTTTTTTATTTGGTCCATAGGACATCATACCTTATTTAATGAAATAGCTTAATGGTGTTGTGAAAGGTCAGATCATAGGCATAAGGATAGGAAGTTGGAACATCTGTACTTTGACTAAGGATTATCTGATCAAGTTGATGATATGCTTCACTATATGTCGGGAGATGTGTGTTGGGTTATGAAAAAATGTTTTTGACCAAGTGTTCTATTGACGCACTCCAGTTCTTGTAAATGTACAAGATATGGCTTTCCGGAGTTTCCTTCTTTTTTTTTTGGGGTGGGGGGGGGGGGATTTATTTCTGGAAAATTTTGGTTGTTTTGAAATGTTTAAGAAGCACTATTATTGGTTATCTACAAAACATGTTGCATTTAGCGTCTTTTATGAGTGTTGTAGTGTGCATATCATCTCACTTTTATGCATTAAATGTACTTTTTTGACAGGGAAATTCACAACTTTTATTTTGAGGATCTAGCTAAATGGCTACATTTGCGGATATAGGGCTTGCTGCAGTTATCAATATTGTCACTGCACTTGTCTTCTTGTTGGCTTTTGCCATACTGCGGCTTCAACCTTTCAATGATAGGGTGTATTTTCCAAAGTGGTATATTAAGGGTTTAAGAAGCAGCCCAACACACTCCGGGGCATTTGCAAGCAAGATTGTCAACTTGGATCTGAGATCATATTTGAAGTTTCTCAATTGGATGCCAGATGCACTGAAAATGCCAGAACTTGAGCTAATTGACCATGCAGGATTGGATTCTGCTGTTTACTTGAGGATTTACTTGATTGGGTATGGTATGGTATTAAAATTACCAACATTGCTTTACAAATCACTGTCTTTGCCCGTGTCTTGTTTGAGAAGTCGCTGCGTAAATGACTAGATGGATTTTTCTTTTTGCGGAGAAAATGGAAACAAACGAAGAATTCAAATATGCTTGACCTTCAGTAGTTGTATTATTTGGACACTTCTTGCATTTTTTTGTGATTATGGCGAACATTTGAAAGCTTGATGAGACAAGTAATTGTTATGTCAAAAGTTGAAGACATTGAAAAGGAAATTGAGTTATGACATTGAAAAAGATATCGGTGGTTGTAGGTACTAGGCTTAGTTGTTTTGTATCCATATTCATTAGATTACACCTTAGAGAAGTCTTTACCTTGAATAGGCTGGGTGCACCTAGATCTTTGTTTTTTTGGATAAGAATCGCCAATTTTAATAATAACTTAAATAAAACAGTTGTACAAGTACCATTCAAAGGTGGACAAGTCTAGCAACCAAATGATTAGAAAAACATAAAGTAAAAAGCAAAAGCTTGAAAATTGGATCCATGTTACAGTCCAACTTGCCATGATACTGAATAGAGGAATATTATCAAAATCCTTTGTCACAGATGCCCAAAAAGAAGCCAAGAAAAGAAGTCGATCCCATAAGGCCTCAACATCGTCCCACGTTAGATTCTAGCATTTCTCTCCATCCATAAGACCCAAATTGGTGCAAAAAGAGCACAATGCCAAAGAGTTTTCCTTCAATTTTTGGTATGAATCTATCAGAATTGATTGCAACTATATGTTTATATATACTAACGACTGCCTGTATGTTCATATGACATCGTTGAATATACAAACTTCTGCTGGTACATTGAGGCACACTCAAAAAACTTGTGTTCCATTGTACTTGTCTAGTGTTTATCTTGTGTTGATTATTGTAGTTTTTTTTAATCTCTTTTCTGCTTTGAGAATATCATCTCAGCTGAATGTTCATCTTAAATTGCTAAACTTGTTGTCTCTTGCTGATTTCTGCACATTCATCTATGCAGACTCAAAATCTTTGTTCCTATAACGTTCCTTGCTTGGGCTATCCTGGTACCTGTTAACTGGACAAATAGCACTTTAGAACAAGGGCCATCCAAATTAACTTACAGCGACATTGATAAGCTTTCTATTTCAAACATTCCGCTTGGATCACTCAGGTTAGGAGACCTCTTCTGTTGCCAAGCTCTGAAATATTTACGAACTGTTTACTTGTTCCATATGAAATGTTAGATAATACCATACAATATATTCTTGTTACTGTAACTTTTCTAATAGTTTTCCATTCATATCATATGTATTGACATTGTAGTGCTGGTCAATCCTAAATTCAATTCATATGAGAATTGAGGATCTTGCTGGGTTTGCCCTTATCTATGTTGGAACACCTTTGGCACAGTTTTTCGGTTAACGTATCCTACAACATGTCTATGGTACAACCAAGAATTCGAGATTTTGATTGTACTTGTGTCATGTTGGCCTGATTAAAACTGCTGTATTCATCCAATTGTTGGAAACTTGAAAGTGAAGTTGGATGTTATGGCCTCCATATGCATTTTCTCTTCTGTACACCATCAAGAAATTATCTTCATGATCCTTGTAAATGTTTGAATAATGGTTTCCCACTATCTTATGCATGAAGGCTCATGTTTCTATTTGGTCCATTTTAGTACTATTCTTTTGTCTGTCATTTCTCTTTGGCACATTTAAATCCATTTGGAGGCTCGTCTCTGGGCTTCTTAGACGCCTTCTCTTAAAGGTGAGTATGTCATCAGAATGGTTCTGGTATGGCAGGGTACCGTATACCTCCACAAAGTTGACCAGCCCGACCCATCTCTCTAGGAAGTGGCATCCGAGATTCCTATTAGAGCATATGCTTTGAGTGCTATTTTTTTCGATAAGCAAAACAATAACAATTTTTATTAATAGTGGAAGTGTAAATACTTCGAGTTCTATTCATCCACTTGGATTTTCTTTTCTTTATTTTCTTCCCCCCCACCCCCCACCAAAAAAAAAGGGTTGCTTCATATTATTATTTGTGCCATGTATTTGTGCAATTTCATGGCATCAAATTATACTTTGTTGTTGAAGCCAATTTAATTAGATATACCTTGTAAAAGAATCTGAGGCCCACTTACAACTTGAAAACCTTTAGCTGTCAGTGTCTGGGGGCTGTAAACTCTTCCTGTATCCCCAGAATAAAATTCAAATGTTGATGCAAATTATTTGCTAAGTTAAAATGAAGCAACAATTATTGTTCACGACTTGTTTTTGCTTTAAAAATTAGTATTGTTGTTTTAAACTATAGTGCTTCTTTTTTACAGAGAATTCAATTGTTGCCGCACCTCATCTGCTGAGTTAGTAATGAAGCAACAACGTGTCAACTACTTGTTTTTTGCTTAAAATATTGCTGTTGTTTGTTGTAAACTAGAATGCTGCTTTTTTACAGAGAATTCAATTGTTGCTGCACATCATCCACTTAGTTTCTAATGAAGCTACAATAAGGGTCAAATCTTAGTTTTGCTTTAAAATTCGCCGTTGTTTTTTGTAAACCGGAGTACTTATTTTTCAGAAAGAAATGAATAGAAATATAGGCAGTTGAAGTACTTGGTTCTTGTTTGGCTTCACTAATACTGCTTGGCGCAATGTGGTATGTGTTCATTGTGGAATGGCAGGTTTTGGACTCACATAGTCATGGCCTATGCCTTCACTCTTTGGACATGTTATGTGTTACAAAAGGAGTATGCAACAATTGCATCAATGCGGTTGCATTTTATGGCATCAGAAAGGCGCCGTCCCGATCAATTTACAGTAAGATGCTTTTTGTTCTTCTACAACTTAAGGCATATATTTAGGAAACTTGAGTTCTTTTGCGATTCTGTGATCTTGTCAATTTGATTTTTTTTTTTATTTGGGAAGTCATAAATCTTCTGTTGAGTCCTTTTTTTTTTTTTTTTTTGTTATGAATTTGTCCTTTTCTATGGTAGTATCTAAAAACAGTTTGGATTGGTAATTGTTTTAAGATTGCTGAATGTTATAGATTATTTTTGTTCTTAGTGGAAGTAGCTAGTCAATGGTGATGGCAAATGGCTACTGTCTTCATACTTCATGATCCATCTTTTTCTCATTAGAAAATTTTGGGGAAATAGGATTTATATAGTTGACCCCAAATAGTTGGGACAAAGTTTTTTGAGTCGAGTATTTCAGCTAATATAATTTTATGCCTTACTTAACAAATTAGTTGATTTCATATTTTCATCAATTATTGGTCATGAACATCTAAGTAATCTCGTATGCTTTGCTTCTTAAACTACCCTGAGCGATGAAATTTCATTGTTCACAGGTCCTTGTTAGGAATGTACCACCGGACCCCGATGAATCAGTTAGCGAGCTTGTGGAGCACTTTTTCTTGGTCAATCATTCAGATCATTATCTCACTCATCAGGTTGGATCGTGCTAACATTCTTCAGCACATATTTGTAATGTAAACATATGTCCACGTGTTTGGAAATATTAAGATACATATCTTGGTCCTCTGGATGTCATTTATTCACTTGGTTGCTTTTATTCCTCCAATAATGATTGCATTTATTCCTTCAAGATATATTTAGCTTTGATTCCATGGTAATCCCAGACAACAAAAAGAAAAGGAAAAAAAAAATGTGGTTATCAGGATCATCTCAACAATGTATATTTCTTCTTCTTTATTGACATTGTGGACTCATGTAAAGTAGGTCATTTGCAGGATAATTTACTTTCAGTTTCAGTTATTTTCTTTCTAATGTGTGGGGTTCATGCACTGAACTCACTATTATTATTTTGAGTTACTTGGTGTAAATCTTTTATTTATTATATTTAATTTTATGCAGGTTGTGTACAACGCAAACAAACTTGCAGAATTGGTCAAGGAGAAGAAAAGTAAGCAGAATTGGCTTGACTACTACCAGTTAAAATATTCGAGAAATCAATCACAACGACCCATGATGAAGGTACTGTTACGAGACTTGATGAATTTAAAGTGTATTTTAACTATTTCTTTTTCTGTATGCTAACAATTCACTTATGACACTTCTAATGATGCTGTGTCAATTTTGAAATACTGTCATTATTTCATTGGACACCTTTTTAACCTGCAGACTGGTTTTCTTGGCCTTTGTGGAGATAGAGTGGATGCAATCAATCATGACACAGCTGAAATTGAGAGACTATCAAAAGAAGTAATTTTCAATCCTTCAATTTCCTTGGGGTACCTAATGAAGCTTTTTCAGTTCACATTTCTTGTTTTGTAATGTAGAATAAGGTATTTTGGAAGTTACTGCTTTGCTAAGAGCTTGGACTTTCAAGCACAAGAACTTGGGTTGAGCCTCCGTGCAGCCATTTGGTTCAAATATAACTGGAAAATAATTGCCCAATATTTCCAGTGGAATGTATAGGCCTAATTGGAGACACCCTCCATCGTGTGCATATTTGCTCCATTTGTCCTTTGTCTGAGCATAGGAAATATGATTTTGTTCAAACCCATGAGTTACTTCATGGTTACCAAAAACAGGAATTTTGCACCAAAAATTGAACCAAGGCAGAAATACCTCAGTTTGAATGATGTTGTCTGTTTGAACGAGCAGTTTTAATACTACTAAGGAGTTTGAGAACATACACCTTTTCGGCATTTTGGATAGATGACCTGCTGTTTGCGGTTATTAGAAGAATCATAAGTCTTTGCTTTTTGTTTTGTTGGACTTTTATGTTTGGTGGCATTTGTTTTGTACTTCTTGTCCACCTTTGACCTTTTTCTTGTACTACTACTGCTACATGTTTTCTATTATTACTAAAATCATTTGTTTCCTATCAAAAAAAAAAAGTTTTAATGATACTCACAAGTCTTGCTCAATAGGGGCAAGGGTCCTTAAAGATTTGCCTGTTGGCTCCTAGACAGTAAATACATTATGAATTTGTACTTACATTCCTAGTGCCCTTGATTCCTTATCTGCCAGTTATAAAATTGACTCATGTTTTTGACAAAGATAAAACTGCATATTTGGCTTATTTTGTTGTCATGAGCATCACAACATTAAACCTCGAACTATTTAATCATGCCAGAAAAACAATGAAAATAATGAACTATTTAAAATGTTACCAAGACTCCATATCACTTTTTTTTTTTTTTTTATAATTGCAAACATTCTGTGAATGGTCCATGCTCCGTTTCAGATGAGTTATGTTTGTTTCATTCTTGATTGTGCCTTTTGTGCTCATTTTCTACATGTAATTTGCCCATGGGTTAGAACCCATCTTCTCATTATTTTGTGGATCACTTAACATGCAGATTGCAGCAGAGCGAGAAAGGGTCACATCTGATCCCAAGTCTATCATGCCAGCAGCATTTGTGTCCTTCAAAACCCGGTGGGGTGCCGCTGTGTGTGCACAAACACAACAATCCAGAAATCCAACATTATGGTTAACGGAGTGGGCCCCAGAGCCTCGTGATGTATATTGGCAGAACCTGGCAATTCCCTATGTTTCACTAACAATTAGAAGGCTTATAATTACTGTTGCCTTCTTCTTCCTCACATTCTTTTTCATGATCCCTATTGCATTTGTACAATCTCTTGCAAACATTGAGGGTATTGAAAAAAGAGCACCATATTTGAAGGTTATTATTGATATGTGAGTATGCTTCTATTTGTAGACTCATCCGCAAGTTGGATTTTCTTGATTTTCTTGTTGCTCTTATGATGCTTTTTTGTTTTGCATTCTTTTAACCAGTATACTATCATGGTATTTGTAGAAATTTCATCATCATGAATATGTCGAGCACTTTAGTGGCTTGCTAATGTCAATCAAGCAGTTCATGAGCTTCTAAGCGTTGGCTTACATTGAGGAAAAAGCAGGACAAAATGAAAGAAAGAGAACAATTATGTGTGCTAATATTTTTAAACATTTAGATACTATATGAGCTTTAAATATGTGTTAGTCTCTTTGGATTTTTATGCATGACTTGTCTATAAACATGGAAATTATGAATTCTGTTTTAGAGAGGCTGATTCCACGGATGGCTCTAATTGAATATTGAACCCGTTGACTCAATTTGTAACAGACCATGTTTTGTGTGTTCCAGGATAATCCGGCTGAGATGGTCCATCTTTGCCCAATTCAGCCGGGAATATTATATTTGTTACTGCCCATAAAGATGAAGGAATGGGCTTCCAATCACATGAAGAAGTTGAGTCGTAGTTATTTCATCATATATGTGGTTGTTCTTAGATGTGGTCGTCATTATCATTAAACTAAGGAATGACTTCATGAAATACGGATTGTAGAATTCTCTGGTTCCTTGACTAACTAGACTGTACTGGCAATTAATTCGAAGCGGAACATGAAATCAGTCAAACCAATACTTTTCAATCCAACAGGAAATCAGACACATTTCCTTTGCAATACGTGTAACTATGATTCTTTGTGCCTTGTCTTAATCTGCTGCCTATATTGTCTGTGCTAAGAATTAATCATGAATATTGCAAAGTTCTTTCCATATCTCTGCTTGTTCAGCAAAGACTGCTACTAGTACTAATTAATAATACCCTGCTGTATTATGCAGAAAATTCATCAAGTCATTTATTCAAGGTTTTCTACCTGGGATTGCCTTAAAGATTTTCCTCATAGTTCTACCCACAATATTAATGCTGATGTCAAAATTTGAAGGCTTCTTGTGTATATCAGCTCTAGAGAGGAGATCTGCATCCAGATACTATCTGTTCAACTTTGTGAATGTATTCCTTGGAAGCATAATCGCTGGAACTGCATTTGAACAGCTAAATGCTTTTATTAAGCAGTCAGCAAGGCAGTATGTTTTTTTATTAGCACCATTATTATTCTTGTTCGATGTCTCTTTTATCTCTCCTGGTATAATTCTGCTTTATGAGGGAGATGTGTCATGTACACTTCATATTTGGCCAGTATTTTATCTTTTGTTGAGTCTACTGTAATAGGGACGTGTAGGTTGTTTGTGAGTTCATTTGAAGTTTGAATTGATATATATATGTTGGGTTGGTTTGTTGGGACAAGGTTTTGTTGAGTTGAGAGTTGAGTATATATATTAGGTTGGTTAGCATGAAATGATATAACATGTCTGATGACAAACTTTAACCCACTTGTTTCTGTTATTCTCTATGGCACATGATTTGGATATTGAGGCTACCTATACTGAATTGGTTAATTGATAAAAATAAAGATCTGTCAAAAATTCAAATGACATTTGCAGGCTTTTTAGAATACTATCGAAGTATCCAAACCAAAACCAATTAACAATGGGGAAGGCCTCTAGGATCATATACTAATTTGGGAGGTCTAATATCACTACTGAACGGGGAACAAAGTCACAAAGTCATAAGAGAAGATTAATCCTAAGGAATTGAGATTTGACTCGTGAGATGTTTAAAACCTTTGCTTTTACCTCATGTTAAATTATCCAACCCCAAAACAACCAAATGTGAATGGAGAGGCCCATTAGAATCTACTGACATGAGAGACCTTACCATTTTGGACTAACTCTAGCAGAAAGCATGTGTTGGAACATAATCGAAACATGGGCTTATTATTTGTAATGGTCTTGGTGTAGGCATGTTCCATTATCATTGGTCTCAAACGATGTGCTGCAAGCATGCCTGACATCATATAGCCTTGAAGTAATTATGCTTTTATTTTTTTGAAAAATTAGTGACATTAGTGGGTGTAGACTCTTTTTAGTCCTTGTCCTTAACATTTAAGAAAATATACCGCTTTATTCATACTAAAATGTCAGTAATAGAATTTTTGCACTAGCGTGGTTGCTTCATTTGTGGATGAAAATGAGGGTTTTTGGTTCATAAGACAGTTTTCTCGGCATATATGGAAAATGTTCTTTAACTTCTTGTCCACCCTGAAGATTAATAAAGTTATGTCTCTGCCATTTGGCACTGTAATGACTTTGAGCCAATTCTGTGATGTCTTTTCTTTATACTCTGACTTCATATTACTTGGTCAGTTTGTAACTTCTCTTGATTCAATATTTTTGTCAGGGCATTGCCTTATAGTTTGTGATTCTGCATACTGAAGATAAATGGCTGATTTTGCAGGATCCCTAAAACTATTGGCGTGGGAATCCCGATGAAAGCAACCTTCTTCATAACTTACATAATGGTTGATGGATGGGCTGGTATTGCGGGTGAGATTTTAAGGTTGAAACCGTTGATATTCTTCCACTTGAAGAACTTTTTATTGGTGAAGACTGAAAAGGATAGAGAGGAGGCAATGGATCCAGGAAGTCTTGGTTTCGACACCGGCGAACCGCAAATACAATTTTATTTCCTACTTGGCCTAGTCTATGCCGTGGTGGCACCAGTTCTACTGCCTTTCATACTGATTTTCTTTGCACTGGCATACGTTGTATTCCGTCATCAGGTAATTAATTGTCATATAAGACCTATGATGTTAGGGACTAGTACAGTCTCACGAAGCAGGAACATCATACAAATACCATTGTGCGGTTGGCATGCTATAAAAGCTTTGCTAGTGATGAGACTGACCTGAGAACGTATGATGTCAAAATTACATAAATTGTTAACATGAGACAGAAGACCTTTGGTATTAGGGAATGCATCACACCAGGTCATACAAATATTATTTTCATTTATTGTATCGACTTATAATTAAAACCCAGAGTTTGACCTGGGTGATGGCTTCACAAAATCATGTAAGTGGTTGCTATTGCAACATTAACTCTTAAATATTCCTTGGATGGTTGAAAATATTTAGGAGCTGGCAGGAAAAAAAAATTGTCATTCGATATGTGGGTCATGGTCTATGAGAAACTTGAGGTTCCTTCATAGTAAACATTTTTGTTGAAGTCCCAAAATCATATGGGAGAAAGAAATCTTTCCAGAACAACTCTTGCCTGCCAAGCTCAGTTATGCCTTCATTCTAAAAGCAGTGGTAGTGTGGTACCTCTTGCTGAAAATCCTTGTATCCTTGCTTCTGAATCCAGACTCTCTATAGTCAATATTTTTCAGCTTTAATGGTTGTCATGGTATGGGGAGAGATCTTTCTTGAGAAAAGGATGAGAACATTAATGTTTTATGTAATAGTTATTCTTGAAATTTGGCTGCTACATGCTTAAAATTTTGAAGAAATCTACAGTACCTCAGGCATATATAATGACACATTGGCAGAATTGCTACTGCTTGTTGTCCATTAGCCACCTATTGTCTCAGTGATGGATTGTTGTAAATAGTCGATGTTTTCAAGCGAAGCTACGAGCCGCCCTTGGATTCGGTTGGCTCTTAGAGTATACTCTACCACTATATTGCTTGGGGAGCTTAGCAAAACTATGTTCAGTCTCACAGGGAATTGGTTATGTAATCTACTACATTTGACTAGCTATCATGGCTAAATCTAATTACTTATGTTATGTCCTTGCTCTCTTCTTTCCTATTAGCTAGTTGGTAGTTCCTATCTGAGTATCCTGCCATCCTCTTTTGCTCTTCTTGTCCCTTTCAATTTGTCTGTGGTCTCTTCTTTGATTCAACTCCTTCCCAAATGTCCAATGGCCAGTGGGCAAATGGATTCATTGACAACGTAGTCTAAACATTTGAGCCAGAGGAATGGCTTCAGGACCAAACTTTTTCCCAAATTACCATATTTTACAACCTTCATTTCCATTATTTTTACTACTGCCTTTTCATTTTTGTTTCATTTTGCCATATTTTTTGAAATAAAAAAAATTGGAAAAATTCTCTCTCTCTCTCTCATTTTTGCAATTATTGCATGACCATAGTTTATGCGGAGCTTGGGGATATAGGCCTTTTTTTTAGGAAATGTTTTCTGTATCATATGTACATGAAAATTCCTTTGTATATTCTTTTTATTGTTAAGTTATATGGCATCTCACTAATCTGTTAAACTCTGTCACAGCCATTTGCATCATACATAACTTTTTCTGTCATCATGTGTTTTCAGAGTCACATGTTTGGTTGTCGGTATTATCTTTTCTAATACAACTTTTTGTCCTAATGAAGATTATAAATGTCTACAACCAAGAGTATGAAAGTGCTGGAGCATTTTGGCCAGATGTCCATGGACGTATTATAGCTGCTTTGGTCGTCTCACAGCTGCTCCTGATGGGGTTGTTGGGTACAAAAGAAGCTGCTCTGACAACACCGTTTCTGATTGCACTTCCAGTACTGACCATCTGGTTCCATATATTCTGTAAAGGCCGTTATGAACCTGCATTTGTCAGATATCCATTACAGGTTTGGTGTCATTCGCAATTTTCTAGTTGGATGATCTGTTATGACATTAGCTTTTACATTGGTCTATGTGGAAATTTGTGGTGCTTGAATCTGTTCGTATACTATGAAGAAAACTTAAGCTAGTTACTACGACAGTTGCATAGAAACCGGGAGAGGCATCTTTGTGTGCCTTATGATTTCTAGTTTTTCTCTCTTATGGAATTAGACTTTTAACTTGAAGTTGTTCTTATCATTTCTCCGGATGTGATGGATCTTATTAGGAAGCGAAGATGAAAGATACTCTGGAACGTGCAAGGGAGCCGAACCTGAATCTGAAAGGCTACCTTCAAAATGCTTATATCCATCCTATTTTTAAAGGTGATGATGACGATGAAGATGAAGAATTCAATGGAAAATTGGAGCAAGAGAGCGTGCTGGTCCCTACAAAGCGCCAGTCACGAAGAAATACTCCGGTGCCCAGCAAAATCAGCAGTTCCTCCACGCCATCCCTGCCTGATGCTATTGAGGAAAATCCAGAGCGTTAAATCTTAGGCACGAGAGTTGTTGCACTTCTTTGTACACAAGTCTAAACCGCCACTGTTTTGCAGCGCTGGAGGAGGTTCACCCTGTAAATTAGATATAAGCAAAAATAGCTTATTTTCCTTATTTCCTTCTCCCCTCGAATCCAAGGGGAAGAACTTGTATAGAGAGCAGAGAGGAGAGACAGGTTCTTGCAGCCCATGGTTATGGCCGACTTTGAAATCTACTGTTATAGAGATCGATTGAGGAGAGGCTGCAAAAAAGTTTTATTTGTGTGAAGTTTTTTTGTATGAAAACTACTGGTGTTTGTTTGTACATCGACAATTATAATTATAATCACAATTTTCTTAATCAATGTTGGATTTTGATTCTTGTTTCTTGTATCAGTGCAGATTCAGATTTGTTTTCTGGCAATGATGTTTTCAAAGAGAACTATCAATACTGAAGTTGAACTTGTGACTGAAAAAGGTAAGTGGGTAGACATCTGTACCTTAGAACACCTTCAACTATGATTCAAATTTTTACTCATATTTGAGTCTAAATTTGAGTAAAAAACTTGATTTGATATAAAAGACTTTAATGAACAAATTCAAATTTAAAAAAGAAAAATTCAAATTTAAATGATGGTGATGGTAAAAAATTCAAATTTAAATGATGGTGATGGTGTTCGAAAATGTTGGCTCAAGTTCAGAACCACAGTCAAATGGCCCAAAGAGGGGATAGAGCAAATATATGAACTAAAAATGGATAAAACTGTGAGAGAGAAGTGAAGACATTGTGTAAGTGGTTCATCCAAATTAAAAAACTAAGGCTACGTCTAATGTAGGAGAGTTTCTTGCTCTTTGGGAGTGTATATTGCTTTAAGAAGACAAATTACAGTGATTTGTTCGATTTAGTTATTTCTAGGGTTTCCTATCAGATTTTGTGGGCCCTACTACTTTTATCCTGTAACAACCTCTGTCAGATGACGCCACTGCATCCATAGTCCTTGAGCAGTTATGCACACTAATATTCTCTGTGGTAGAGAGTACGTTTTTATTATAAGTGTTAGAAGTGGTTCCTCTATTCTTTGGACACGTAAGCTGATGAGAATTGTTTGTTCCGTAAAATGCAATGAATTAGTAGTTCTATGATCCGTTTTAGCTCAGGGATTGGCAAATCATGGAGGATGAACTTTTAGCTTGACATGGTTATGTTGATCCATACCATGCACCCAATATTGGAAAGCCTTTCGACACCATTGAATGCATATGCAGGAGATGAAAGCCAGTGACTCAGTTTTGATATTACCTGGGATTCACTAGCAGAGTAGGTACATTAAAGAATATGGCTGTTAATGAATTGAATAGCTCTAACTCACCTCGATTTTGACTCGTTTATGGTCTTTCAAATTTTAAAATGAATCGAATCTAATAGGTCCAAAATTAGTTTTATGAATGAACTGTGTCCAAGTAACACATGATGACTTCAATAGAATCAAGTTGGTAAATAATTTTTTATACATCGTCAAACATTCTATATCAGAAAAATGAATTGACTCTGAATTTATGATTACATATATACGCTTTATATTATCGATAAAACCTGTAGTACAAGTGGATATGAAGTTCTAATTTCATGTTTCTACTACATGCATTCAGTATGTTGATTTGAATAACAAGTGAATCAGTCATTTTGTATGAAGATATTTAGCAATATTTATTAAATGATCAATAATAGGATTAGTAAGAATTAGAAATAATACCACCCAAGTCACTAGTTCCCGCCCTTATCCATATTCTAATATCGTAGGTCGATATAACTCATTAACACAACATAAAATTAAAAACTTTGAATTTTCTTTTACTCACTCGTTTCATAAAAAAATAGACCCAACATGATATGGTATAAGTGAGTAAAATCAATTAAAAAAAAATATACGATATGACCAATTTATATATTGATTATATACGATTTCAAATACGACATAAATTCGATATGACACGACTTATTAAATATAAATTAATAAAAAAATTAAATATAAAAAAATTATTTTTTAACACGAACCATTAATACACGACATGAACCCGCGTTACCCCAATACTTCATTCCCAAGTTCCCTTGCCCTCAGATGTAGAATATTGAGTGAACATAAAGTCTCTCATTGACCATGAAGAATCAATTAGGTTGGACACACTTACCATACACTTCAAAAGTAGACTTCCCAACAAATCAAAATTCTTCCATGTTTCATCCCTAAAGCTTTTACCATCCCCTTTCGTTTTACTCAATCTCTCTTTCTTATTCCCACATCTCACCCACTTTTTAGATTCTAGAAATTATTAGTCATTGCCTAACCACTGCCAAGCTCCTTCAAACTTGGGCCTTCCCAGCCCATGGGCCATCTGTCTGGTGCATTTCAAATAGTATTGCAACGTCATCTCTCGATTAGTATTTATTGCTTATTTTGTTAAAAATTATATTATTAAAGGTGACGAAATAAGTAACGAAAATTAATATAAATATAATATTATAATATTTTTAATATATTGAGTATATAAGATAAAAATTTTAATTTTTAAGGGTACAAAATGATAATTTTTAAACTTTTTAGTCACAAAGTACAATTCTATTTATTTTTGGGTTAATTATAAATTACACGTTCTCGTATCTCAATTTGTAGATAAAAAATTTAATTTGTATTTTCAAAAATAAAAAATTTATACCAATGTGTACCCTCAAAGATAAAAAATTTTAATTTATACCCTCAAAGATAGAAATGTGTATTAATGTGCACTCTCAAAAATTAAAAATCTCAATTTGTACCCTCAAAGATAGAAATTTGTATTAATGTGCACCTAAAACTAATTGCCGTCAGTTTGCTGACTAAAATTAAATTAATAAATTATACCTAGATTCTCTTACACTTGTCATTTAATCATTTGAACATTTTTACATTTAAAATATTATCATACATCTTATGAAGTTTGTGCATGTGTAACACGTAACCTTTTTTAGTTGATATCTGTTAATATAACCATTAAAAATATGATTTTATCCTAACAAAAATTTATAATTTTTTATGGGTCTGGTATACTCTAAAGTTCAAAATCAAGTTTACAATTTGAATGTCCAATAGAATATAAGTATTTATATAATATTTTTTATATCCAATGCAATATATCACTTAAACATAATTATTTGAATTTTCAATTGGAGGGACATTTTAGATTGAGAGTATTTTTATTAGGATTTTATAACAGTTAAAAATATGATTTTATCCTAATAAAAAAATTATAATTTTATATTACCATTTATTTTATGAAAGGGTACAAATAATTAAGTGACAAATATGAGGGGATTTAGGCATAATTTATCAATTTAATTTTAGGCAACAAATTGACGATAGTTAGTTTTAGATGCACATTAATACAAATTTCTATCTTTGAAGGTGTAAATTGAGATTTTTGATCTTTGAGGGTGCACATTGATACAAATTTCTATTTTTGAGGGAGAAAATTGAGATTTTTGATCTTTGAGGGTACAAATTAATACAATTTTCTATTTTTGAGGGTATAAATTAAAAATTTTTGATATTTAAGTATAAAAATTAAGATTTGAACAATATTTCAGAATACAATTTGCAATTAACCTTTTATTTTACGCTTATTCACATTCCTGCCTTCTCCGAGCTCGGAAACAATAGAAAGAAAAGGAAAACAGTGTAAAAAGCTCTCAGTTTTGACCTTCCAAATGCTGCTTCTCTCTCATCCTTCCCCAGAACTTCCACCTCAATGTACTCTATCTATCTCTGTCTAAACTTTCTGTCTCTAAAACTATAATCTCTCTGTCTCTGGGCTGTTTGTATATGAATATATATGATTTTTGCATTTTGAATTGCAGGAAGAGGTTTGATAAGACTAGCTATGACGAAGAAGACATCGGCGATACCTATACGTCACGTGTTCTGGTTTGGTTGGAAGCTTGTGGTTATACTCTCAGTCACGCTCTTCTCCTTGACTCTTCTGAGACTTCACCGCAACTCTCGATCACAACTCTCTTCACCACCTCGCAGATCTCGAATTTCGAACGAAATCTTCGAAGGACCTCCAAAAGTCGCGTTCTTATTTCTCGCTCGTCGAAATTTGCCTCTCGATTTCCTATGGGGAAGCTTCTTCGAGGTTTTATATGAATTTTCCTTTTTTTTTTTTTTGGTTTTTTTTTTTGTTGATATTTTCGGGTGAGAATTGAGCAGAAGTATGGGAATTGCAGAATGGAGACGTGGCAAATTTTTCGATTTATGTTCACTCGGAGCCTGGTTTTGTGTTCGATGAATCGACTACGAGGTCGGCCTTCTTCTATGATCGGCAATTGGAAAATAGCATTGAGGTGATTTGTGTTTGAAATTTTAGTTCGGTTGTAGATTGATTGGTTGCCGAGGAAATGATGGAAGATTATAAAAAAAAAAAGAATTGAGAGTAAACTTAATTTATTTTGAATTTCATACTTCATATATTTTCTTCTTACAATAAAAAGCTTTCTCTAGTTGAGCTAAATAATTGCTTTGGGTAAAATCAGGGTTTTTATTGTCCCTTTTTGTGTGTTTCCAACTAATTTATGTATTCCTGTTCCAAAAAAAAAAAAGATATATTAAATGGTTCAAAAGCTGTAGATTCTTATAGCTTTTTGGTAGAGTCTATGTTTCTTGGAAAAACAAATGGAGCTTAGGCAAGTTGTTTTGATTGCATGTTTTGTACCGATAATAGAGTTCTGTCATTTTATTGGATTTATTTAAGTGATGATGGCGTAGGTAGCCTGGGGAGAGTCAAGTATGATTGAAGCTGAGAGGCTGTTACTTGAAGCGGCTCTCCAGGATCCCGCAAATCGGAGATTTGTTCTATTATCAGACAGGTTGGTGCATTTATTGTTAAAAGCACTCAATCTATTCTTCCATGTTAGGTGCCATATGATATGTTTGTGTTTAATTTATACTCTTATTTGTTAAATGCATCTCACATTGCATAATAGTTGGGGTTGGACTTTTATATGTGCTTGAGCATTTAAACTTTGGACTAGATATATGCTGATTTTTTGTCTTATTGGATTATGATGAATTCTGTTTCCTAACGAGCTACATCATATCAATGTGAACATTGGGAAAATAATAGAATGGAGATTTATCTTGTCTTGGTTATGCTTTTTAAGCATCAGTTGCTGTTCTGTTGTATAGGAAAGCTTCTTGTCACCAAATTGAATAAAAAGACAAAAGAAGGTAAAGATTGGTTTTGATTTATAATTAACAATGTCATGTCACAACTTTGGTTCCAATTTCATTTTTCCCTTTTGTACAACTTATGATTAGCTCAATTAGGTTCCACATGTGGGCATGGACATTTTCAGTCAATTTAGATTGCAAAATTCACCAAACATTTGAATGCCACATCCAAAATGTTGACAGTTAGCTAAGGAATTCTATTTGCAATTGTGTTTAATTTTTAGGCTATCTCTTAACAGAAATTGATCATTGCGTTCCCCCTCCTTTTGGGTCGAATCTAGATCTCTCTCTAACATTATTTTTATCTTGCAGCTGTGTTCCTTTGTACAACTTTAGCTATATATACAACTCTTTGATGGCTTCTCCAAAGAGTTATGTGGACAGGTAGATGTGTTCATTCATGATGTGGTGCTCATGGAGTTTTCTTTTGATATTCTAGAGCCATTGGAGAAATTTGTTTTGGACTAGAAATATAGCGTTTCTGATTTTTCTATGTTATTTCTGACTTTGACATTTATGTACTCTGTTTTCACTTAGTTTTCTTGACAAAAAAGAAGCTCGCTATAACCCAAAGATGTCACCTGTCATACCAAAAAACAAATGGCGAAAGGGATCACAGGTTATGCACCTAACCATTTTCTTTAAATTCATCATGAAATTAAACCAGAAAGTATGCCCTCAATGCAGTTTTTGAGATCATGACTTGACCATGTTACCCTGGTCATTGAGCGATGTAATGTAAGCTACAATGATTAGAGGATTTATAACTTGTTTTCTAGTCCCATAACAGTTGGAGCATTACATTTTGTTTTAAAAGACCTTCGGAATGCATATCAAGTACAATAAAGCAGAATCATTCCTAAAAAGTGGTATAAATATCTGAAAAGGCACCATTTTATAAAGTAAAATGTATGATCCTATATCATGATTGGGAGTGGCTGGTTTAGTTTCTGTGTTAATATTCTTAAAGGCAATATATAACCTTGTGGAATGGTTTAGTATCCTTCATTAATCATTATCTCAACACTCCCACGTAATGTTGCAGCATGATGCTAACTTTTATGATAAAATTTATGAAAAGCCTAGGCTTGTTTCATAATTTTTGCATGTATATGTCCATATTTGAAATTGCTTGACACGCTGGTCAATTCAAGCTTTTTGAATCTTTTGCTTTGGATTACGGTAAGTAGGCAAGGACATATTGTGCTCTTCAAAAATAATGTGACTATAGCATCTCCTTTTGTTGATTGAACTTGGACTCACCATAAAAGGTTTTATTGGAGAAGCAATGTCAACATTTTAGCTGAAGGTAAAAGATTTCATCTAATGAAATTGAAACCAACTTTTTTGTGAGGTCAAATTATTCTTAGTTTGCAAAATTCCTTTTGCAGTTGGTACCATACTTCTGTTAGTACTGTTGTTCTTTAATTACATAGCACCCCTGTCGTGGTGGTTGTTGACTTGAAACGAAAAATAGTATGACTTTGAGGGGACGTTGTGTATTTCTTAAGCTATGGCTGTAATTGTTAACTGGTTATTTCAGTGGATCACTTTGATTCGAAGGCACGCAGAAGAAGTTGTAGATGACGAGGTCATTTTTCCAGTCTTTAAGAAGTTTTGTAAGGTATGCACGGCGACAATTTGTCTAAAGTGTCAACCATGGTTCTAAAATTCCATTTTCTGTAATCCTATTTTTCATAAATTGTTAAAGTAGCCAATGATGATAAGAAATAACTCGTGAGTTGCATGTATATACTAGATATAGTATTTATTAAGGGTGAGTGAGTGACCTTTGTTTCTTTGTGTGACCTTGCAACTTCCAATCACAACATGCATATGTAATGGTTTCGAGAGATTTAAAGGAAATTCTGTATTAATTGTAATGAATCTTTACATAAATCTGTCCACCTAAACTGTTTCTGTAATAAAAATGTACTCATTTGTTCACTTCACACAAAGAGCATGCTTGTTTTTTTTTCTCTTTAGCAGCAACCTTTTTTCAAATAAGACTGCATTTCTGCATGGGAAGTGTTAATTTCCCGGGATTTTTTTTGTCATATTTTTACAGTTAGTAATTTGTTTAATTCATCATCAATGTGCAGAGACGCCCACTTGTGGATGACAGTAAGGGAAAGCAAAATCTTGTAAGCATCTTCTTGTCTCAAAGAGAAGAAACTTTGTTTGAATGTTTCTTCTTAATAGTTGTTCATTCCTTCCATGCTTATCCATTTAAAGATTTAGATTCTCTACTAAAGGTTTGTATTTGTTTTTATGAATAATGTGCTGGCAGGGGTCCTTGCCAAATCCCCACCTGCTTAGGTGAATTTCGCCAAAAAAATTATGTTAAATGCTTACTTTCTGGGATTTATGTACAGGCCAAACTCTGCAAATTGATCCTTTTTGTAACTTCATATGAATTCTTTGTCATTAGAATTGCTTTGATCTCTTTGGCTTCCTTATTTTTTTTTTTCTAAAAATTTCTGCTTTATTCCTACCCTCTACTAATCCATTACAAAATCAACAAAAAAAAAATAAAATAATTATGTGTTGTGAAAATGACTCTCATCAATCTGTAATGTGGTCAGGTTGAAAGTGCTACCTGGAGGGGAGCAACACAGTTGAGGTAGTGAGGATATATGTCTTAATTTAGAGGTGAATATGGTCGTAGGAGGAGCAGAATGAAAAACACATTGGGTTGGCTCAGCATGAGGAAAAAAAAATTGAACTAAAATTTTCTGCAGTTCAGCATTGTTCGAAGAGTGTGTTTAACTGTTTTTGAGTATGGCTGGGTTAACATGATATAGATATTGGTCCTCAGCTGTGGTTCAGATCATCAAGTTAGCAACCTTTTGTTTCTTTCTCTATTAGAATATTGTTAGCATTTATGCTAAAAATATGATAGTGGGTGATTCAAATTGGGACAGTTGAACTCGACCCGATCATACATGACAGTGGGATCCATTCGAGCTAACCTGAAATCTAATGAGCTTGAGTTGGCTTGCACACTGCTAGAATGTGCTTAAAAACCTCTCAGACAACTTATGGAAACCACTTGCATAAATTATTTTCCATCTGAAGTATCTTTGTTCTCCCCTCCCCTCTAACAAAACAAGTAGGTATCTGGGCCCCTAAGAGCTGTCAACATATTCCGCCCATGGACTATTCGTCCTACTGTGATTAAGCAATTATTGGATGAATCCTTTGACTTTTGGGATGGCCTCAAGGGAATGACTAACACCATAGGAGCTCCAGTTTTCTTTTCTTTTTGTTTTTCCGGCGAGTTGCACCAGGCCAAGGCAGTAGTGCAATGCCAAGATGTCACTTGAGTGCCCCAACAGCAAGCTAGTGTGATGGCTTTCCCCTTAAAAAAATTAATTTAATAGCATATCAGATAATAAACTAAATAGGTTCTTGGCAATCTTATCTCTATCCACGAAGGTTGAAATCCTTGCTGAATTGTATGGGAGACATAGACTCTATATTGTCTATTTCAGTACTTACTAATTGATTTTCACAATTGTTTATTTTGTTTCCATCGCACCTGCGATTTATTTCTTTAATATTTGATGCTATCTTTGCCCTCCCTTTTGTTCCTCAATAAATTATGGGTCTGGTAACATGTTTTAGTCTCAAAGAGCTTTTTTGTTTATCTTGTGAAATCATGTTTTGTCTCCATTACTCTTATATAGTAATCTAACCCCTTCTCTACTAAATGATGATTTGTTCTGATGATGTCCTAATATCGAATGCAGAAACTTCAGAAGCAGCACAACTGTATCCCAGATGAACATTATGTGCAAACATTACTTGCAGTAAGCAATCAATTTATATGTATTCTATCGTTCTATAATTATCAGTACTAAATATTAATTTTATTTTATCTTTCATGCCTTTATATTTTTGTTTTCTGTACTTTTGGTAGTTTTTATATCTCTCTCTCTGTCTCTCATCATTGTTTTCATATTTATCAAGCAATGGTTCATTATGATTTGTTTGTTGCTAGTTTTTTTGATTTACAATCGGAGATCACAATTCTCTTTCTCTTCTTTGTTCGTTGTTTAGATGAGTGATCTTGAAGGTGAACTTGAACGAAGAACAGTGACCTACAGTTTATGGAATCTGTCTGTGACAAATATGGAAAGAAAAGGGTGGCATCCTGCTACATTTAGCTATGCAGATGCAGGGCCTCAACAAATTAAAAAAATAAAGGTGACTACTCTTTCTGGGTGAAAAAAGGTGATTGCTTTCCATCATCTCTTCCATAACTTGATGACTAACATAGAGTGCATGATAGAGCAGAGGAAAAGCCTAATATGTGATCCTTCTCATAAAATCCGTTGTCACAGATTGAAATTTGATTTGTTTAGCTGCATCAAGTCATTGTCCTTTTGGTTGCTCCATTTCACAATTTCATTGTGCACTTGGCGATACCAAAATATGTCTCTGACCCTGTGGCTGTGGCTATAAAAAGAGAACGTTTGACCTATGTGGCTTAAAAAAAATCCTTGTCTTGTTGCCATTGTAGGGCAGTAGGTCTAGGAATCCATTGAATATGGTACTTATGACAATAAATTGACGCTAGTGAGCCTCTAGTCTAACCTTTTGATATGTCTGACATCGAGCTTGCCTTAAATGTATGCGGGCATGTGTCCAGCAATTGAGCAGGTATATAGGGAGTGAAAAACGTTTACTACCAATAGGAAGCCTGATTTACTATCATCCTCATGCCTGAACACCCAGGATTGCCGTGATTACACTGGTCAACAATTTATCTCTATGTTGTTACATCTCGGAGACTTGGTGTTCCATACCTTCAAGCGTGTTTTTTGTTTATCACCTTGATTTCCTCTTCTTTTCCTGACTGACTTAGACCATCATTTGGACTTTTTTTCTGTCTCTTTTGTGTTGGTTCTTTCGTAACCTCTCTTATTGACTTTTACAGGACATCAACCATGTATACTATGAGACTGAGTATCGGACAGAATGGTGCAGGAATAATTCTACATTAATTCCCTGCTTCTTATTCACGAGGAAATTCTCTGAAGGAGCTGCCATGCGTCTTCTAAGCGAAGGAGTGGTCGGTTCCTTTGATGCCTCTGCACTACTAAGTACATCGCCCTGATTTCTCACAACACTTTAGCTACTAGTTTTCCATGTTTTAACAGCATCTTTAACCGGCAACATACCCACAGAATATAACTCGGGCAGCAAGTGGAGCGCCCGTTAGAACTTTACTGATTGTATTTCACATCGATACCCGTGAAAGTTTTTGATAGCACACAATCTTAAAATGTGACAACGACACAGGAGAAATAGTGTGTGATAGAGATTTGCCGGGGTTTAAGCTATAAGTGCACCCGGGACGAGTTGTAAATTGTTGATATGGTCGCATGATTAATAGAAGTTGCTTAATTCTTTTTGTTTCTCCCCTTCGTGGGAAATGACAATAACTAATCGATGTTTTAATGCTCAAGTTTCTGTTCTGTCAATGTTATTTCTTATTTCCTCAATTTTTTTGTCTTTGCTCTTTGGTGTATTTAGGTTTTGGGGTTGGGTATGCCACCACTCGAGTTGTAAAATGCTAGCAATTGGAATTCAGTGGGAGTTTGTAGCTATGGTCAATCAATAGGCCCATTTTGACTATTTTTTTTTCTTTGTATGATTAAGGATGACAATGGACTAGGGAAAAGAGTAGTCTTCATCGCTATATACGATTCAAAAATATTCGTTCAACCTTAGTTTATATTTGTTAGCGGGAGAGATTTTAATCCTAGTCATTGACCTGCGGGTAAATTTTTATCCTTATTCTCGTCTCTGTCCATAATAAATAATTTTTATGATTTTAAGAAAAAAATTAAAAAAAAAGACTTATTAAAACCTCACAAAAGGTTCTGTAAGATGGATTAAACTCCATTATGTTACAAACAGATCAAAAAATAAAAGAACATATAGTGTTTTTTTTTTTTTTTGGTAATGAGAAAAGTGTGGATGAGTAGAGTTTGTTATATTATATGTATGTATTAATAAGTGGGTAGGAGAGTGGATGAAGTTTGTGTCTTTGTGATATTATATATATATCATGGGTATAACGGTAGTGGAGGGGCGGGGAGGGAATGAGTTTCAGTCCATCTTCGTCTCTATTCCCGCATAGATTTATTTATACAAGTATTTCCGTATACATTCATCGTCTAATACGTATGATTTATCTTCAGTCAAAATGAGACGGGTTTGGATGAATATTCATTTTTTTCCTGATCAACTGCCATCACTACATATGAGCATTCTAACAGATTATTTTTTCCACAAAGATTCAAGTTAATGCATTTATAGGAGTATGCATGAACTGAACTGAACTCAACTCAGGATTTAAGTGAATTTTTAATTCAATTTCAGCACTTAACTTAGTCGTTATTAATATTACAATGGTAATCCACATTCCATTCCATTCCAACCTTCATTCCATTTCCATGTAAAAAAATTACTACGTACCAAACATGTAAATTGACACTTTAAAGAAGGTTTTAGAATTACCATAGATGCAAGAAACATGTAACATATTTTATCACTTGGAAGGGCCAATCACAATGTGTTAGCCCGGAACACTGAAAATTCACTGGCGAAAAGAAAGAAGGTTTTTTTTTTGTTTTGTGTTTTGGGGGGGGGGAGAGGGGGATACAACTGTTTCACCAAGCTAATCAAGAAGCTAATGAAGGTATCTGACATCCAAAATGGATCTATATAGAGTAAATAAATAATTGAATGGCAGAAAAATTGAATGGCCTGGACAATTGATCAGTTCAGTAGTATATGGGAGCAAAGAGTAAGTCCTATGAAACTCCCATCTTCTAGGAAAAAAATCTGATTCAAATTGCAGTATTACCTGTATGACTGTACACTGGACTATTGTTATCATATGACTTTGAGTCTATGTATGAGTTGTCATTGTTGTTCCCTTCGTAGGCTTAACACGAGACCGCAAGGGGTCTTCTCTCCAGCCTTTTTGCTGAGCCCTCTGTTGCCACATTGCAGTAAGTTCCTTCTGTGCTGCTAGCGCTGCTTCGGCCTTCTCCCTTGCCTCTTCGCATGTCTCCATCCCAGAATTGCACTTATTGGCCTCCTTTTGATACTGGGATGCCATTTGCTTAGCCTCTAGAAATGCCATGTCCACCCGCCTATGGTTTTTTTGAGCTTCAGCTTCTGTCAGCTTCAACTCCTCTGACAACAAATCTGTAATGCTTTTTTCCATTTCTTCATTCACCTCAGGGTCATGCTTCGTACAATCTATATAAGAGACCATCATAGGAAGAAAATAGTGTTAAAGTTCAAAATAAATTGAAGGCATATCAAATGGCTCTGATCCTATCAACAATCTAAATGAAATTTTTGTCACTTTACCCGACTTACATTTATGATTTACCAAGCTTAAGTAGGGTGGGTTTCAGTACGTGGATATTATTAATGATAAATGTTCAAATATAAAATCAATGTATGGTTACGATTCCTGATTATTCAATACCAACTGAAAAAGGGTAAATTACGATTTATAGTATGGACAGGGATATGAAAAGGATAGAAAAAAATATATACGTACAGCTAGGGTATGCCTAAAATCAGATACATATTTTGTCTTGTTTTTACTATTTGAAGATTTAAACATCAATTTTCAATAATTTCTTTGATAACTCTTTGAAAAATTAGTAATGTTTACTTTGGAAAAAACAGATTGTTTCATCATGGTAAAACCACAAAGTCAACACTTCTAATTGAAGGAACCGGAAGAAACATTTAACTTGATGGTTTGCTTAGAAATAGTTGTACCCAACGGATGTGGCGTAATCAGCCTATTGTTACATATGGTAGAAAATAATGCTAGAGGAACATTCACGCGTCTTCAAAACTATATGGGGTTTTCAATAAAAAGTAGAAAGAGGATTGGTGTATTTGCATTGGATGCCCGTATTCAAGATCTATCTAGAAATAAAGATATATTTTATTAATCGATAAATACATATTTTCAAGTATTTGACATAAATTCTGAATGAAATATCCGTGCTTCATAGATTAAAAATTTACGATTGAATATAGTTGGACATATCTGGAATTTCAATGAAAGTGTGAGTACAGTGTGTGGCGCAATTCCAGCATCTCATGCTATGTAGCTTCTCAAGAATTAAGGTCTCAACCTATAATATGAATGAGGAAAATGAAGTGTAATATACATTGAACATCTTATGTGACAACAGATAATCTTTTAGTAGTAATGTTTTTATTTTTAACAACCAGCAAGTCATTGGTTTCCAATGAGAGGGCTTTATGGTGTATACTTAATACTTAACACTGAACTTGGGATGTAATAAACATCAATTCTTTTGCGATTTTGACATTGATAATAATCACGAAAAAAACCCCACCAGCAAATCAAGTCTTGCTGAATGAGGGATAGAGTATCGCACAAACTAACACACTTTTTGTGCATATTATGTTTCTGCTTGTTGATATCTCTAAATGACTGCTTTTCAGAATTCAATTATCAAATGTTGAGATTGAATATATTTATCCCGCATAAATGTATATTATGTGATTTAAGCTAATGAACAGGCAGAAATTGCAATACCGACGACATACTATTTAGTTGTAAGAGTACTACCTGATGCCAACAAGCACAGTCCTCAAAAAAATATATTGAAGTTTAGGGCAAGTCAGATGGACTCAATTCCTGTTCCTTTACATCTAATTCAGGAAAGAAAACTAACCTGTAAAGAAAGAGTGGTTGAATCCTGCAGAGGAACAGACCAAAATGAAAATGTGTTTGACCAGCAGCGATCAGGTACTAAAAGGTGGCAATAGGTAGTTCTAGTTCAATAAAGAAAGATGGAATGGTAGAGAATTCCCCAATTTAGCATGAATTTATCTTTCACAATAGCAAAAAATTGAAGTGGTATAACATCCATTGATATTTGGCTCAGCAAAAGACTATACTTTCGGCATGGATTTGCCATCTAGTCTCAATAATCCGTACTCTGTTGTTTACTTACTTGAAAAGAGGCAACCACTGTATTATATAGGTTTTACATGGCACATGGAGCAACATGATCCTTATGCCTAAGCACCATAGCTTTAACATGCTATTTCTTTCAGCTACAATTGTTTTGAGAGCCAACAAAGTTTAAACTTTAATCCTAATAAAAACTCAATTCTTTGTCAATGTCACCATTTGATTTGAAGGAGAGAATAAAGTGTTATTCAATAGTGAAATTGTAGATGCATGGATGCCCTGCACAAGCTCATACAGATGATCACAGATTTATCTACCTCTTGTAAAAATTATAACAGATTTTACAAACTAACCAGGAAAATTCTAAGTAAATGTAGCATCAAACTTCAATTTTGATGCCTCAAACGCACAAGTGCACACACCCACACACCCCACAACAACACGCCAGCCATAATCTTAAGCTCCGTTATGGAATATTAAAAAATGACACCTCTTAACCCAAGGGATAGTAGACACTAGACAGGGACGAGTGAGTTGACAACTCTCTTGGGTGTGATCAATTTATCCTTAGTCTATGTGTAATTGATCCGTGTTTGCTAGGAACCCAAGAAAAAAAAAAAATGACCCCTCTTCCTTGATAATGTAACAACACAACTTTAGGTCCCCTAATCCATCATCAATTCTCAAAAGAAATTATACTTATCTAACATATAAAAACCGTCAAATCCTAAATACCCAGAGAGAGAGAGAGTCTGGAAGGGTGATAAAGGTGGTACCTTTGGGGAAGGATAAAAGGGATTGAGAAGAGCAATCACAGACGCAGGGAGGGCAATAGGTGTGGCGAACGGAGGAGGAGACCACTATGTAACCAATAATGCTTAGACCCATCATCCCCATTACCACCAACAACATCACATTCCCATGCAGATGCTTCCGCTGCGCATTCATATCTATGGCTATCACTGTGTGTGTAAGTTTATAGATTGTTTTGCCTTTAACGATGAAGTAGCGAGGTGGAAACGTACACGAACCTTTTTCTGCTTCAGACGTAATTAGAGAGTAGAAGTCTGCCAGTGCCCAGTTGCTGTGAACGACCTCGGACACGACGTCGCACAGGTTAGAAATAACTTTGAAAAATTTCAGTCACAGTGTTTCTAATTTGTTATATCTTCAAAGACACCCCTTCTATTTTATGAATCTTCATTGACACTCTTATTAGATTAAAGGTATTAACTAAAATATAATTTTATTAAATTATACATGATATATTTTAAGAAAATTTTTTCCACATTCTCTCTAAATAGACTTATCTTTAATAAAACTCCATCTATTTTTCTAAATTTTTTTACGGATTAAAATTTAGGTCGATTAAAACTCGATTTGAACTAATTAAAATTTAAGCTGATTAATAATTATTATTTTTTATTTATTAAAATTTAAACCAATTAAATTTTGGTTCGAGCTGATTAAAATGCTTAATAATTAATCCCAAGAGGTAACATAATGTTGCTGAAACAACGTTAGCAATCATAAGGATAAAAACCATTATTCACAGAGTAATCATTGTAGCAAAGAAGTCAAATTTAACCCTATGACGGAGTTGGAAGATCACCCTCTTGACCTAGAGCTGGGGACAATTCATAGTGATGGGTTTAAATCTGGAATCTCTAGAGCCCAAGACCATTTAAGCTTGCAAAAGACGGCCCAAGTAGCTCATCTAGACAATATTAATTGGGCTCCAACTGGACTGCAATCCAGTTTTAGTTAGACTCAATGTTAACTAACTTGGGATATGAGAGCACAGCACCTGACTAGTCTGCAAAAACTACAGCATGACATGTGAACAAGGGACAATGGAATATTACCTGACGACTCTGATGAAAAAACCCACAGGTAGTGAAGACGGATCACGTACTACAGTTGGCGAGTAGTGGGTGTAAAAATGCGTCAGAGACCATAACTCTAGGATGAAGACAAATACATAGGGGACCACATAATCAGTCAAAAAGGACCAACATGAAATCCTAACTATCAGTTGTATAAATAGCCAACAAAGCTACGATGCATGGAGAGAGCTATTTGAAAAAATTAGCAAGTAAAACCTAAGTGATATCTTGTAAAAGGCTTCAAGCCAAACATCCTACAACAACAATCTTTTTCTCCAAAAAATACAATTCCCAAGGAATAAGAGTCTCTCTTACAGTGGACGTAACCTTAGTCTTTTGACTAAAGCAAACCACTCATACCGTTGTCTTCTTCTTGCAACATACATATAGCATACATGCTCACACTCTCACATTCACACACGCATTCGTTGGGTCGCACCTCGGATTGTTCTGTAGTCCAATTCAATTGATTTCGAACCCCATCATTTAGAAAGACGTGTTAATTGACATTCATCCATTCAACATGCATTCAATTGAGAATTCAAATTCACAATTCCACCAAATATATATTATGTCTCAAAAATACATTCAAGGGAAATTTTGCATAACATGTATTTTAATTAATAAATAAATCATAAGTCAATTGCCCATATCCTTGAGGTCAGGTCATGAAAGATTTATTCTTCATGAATTTCTTAATTTTGGTATGAATAGTCAACCTTTGATCAGACGGAAGATTAATTGATGCGTGTATAAATTGGTCTAAATACCTCTGATCACAATTCTAAAAATAAAATGCTTAATAATTGAAAACAGTCGGAACTATGAACAAATTTATTAACAAAAATGTAACTGAATTTATGGCCAATTAGACAATGATCCTTTCCATACTCACATCAACCCTAACCTTGAATACTGAATTTTTAGAATGAAAACTGTGCGCATAAGGACAAGTTAATGCTAAAAATGGTTTTTTACCCTCATTAATAAATCACTACAGTTATATGATATGTATTTCAACCATACTAAAAAGATTATTACCTAGTTTAGGAAAAATGTAACATGACGGAATATACCTTCCAGGTACACCCACACAATCACCGGTCAGAAACCATTCACATAATGAAACCCTGTCTGAAAGCTTAACACTGTCTCAATGTTCATATTACTTGCTCATTTAAAGCAAAGTTTTCTTTCATGACTGATGAATCGTGCCATTCAAACTTGATATTTTTCATATGTAAAATGGATTACACTTACCGAAAAGTTAAAAAAAAGCCCAAAAAAGTGATAAATTTCAACCCAAAATGTAGAAAGTGAGAACTCAAAAAGTGAATGCACCCCAAATGTTATAAACTTTACCCAAAAAGTGGTATAGATACCCCAAAAGGTGACAATATGGTCCTGAAATTTGCCAACATGTAGAATACATAGCATAAATATACGAGTCCCGCACACTTAAATGGTGCCATGATGAGCACAACAGAAAATTGATGAGGATATGGCAATGATTTTTGTGGTGTGATCATTGAAACAGCTAGTTCAATTGTTTCTTGGGATACTCCCTTGCTCCAAATATAGTAGATCCAATTCTCACATTGGTACTGCCCATTTCAATCTGCAGAAATCACCAAATCCATTTATTAGGTTACATAATCTCGTCGCCACAGATATGCCTCTAGAACAAAATTACTGCAGGCCACCACCACTGTATGGGCTCTCGCCATTAAAATAAGATGACTATATAAACGTAGTCGTCTTAGCTCATGCAAACTTAACCATACCCTGTAATTTATATCAGCTTATAAAGAACATCCATAATTTCCATTCCATCAACAAATGTTGGTGCTGTGAGAAACCCCCAGCTCCCCCCTTCACTCACTAATCTTGCTATATTAAACATTTTCCTGTGAAGAAATTTATCTCGTGCTTTGCAAAATTTTGGTTATAACAAAACTCAGCTAAAGCGTTACTTACAGCTAGCTCAAAGTCTCCAGACATGCCCATAGATAGTTCACATTTCTCTTCTGGTATTCCAAGTGCATTGCAGACCTCAGTTCTACAGTTCGCTAAATTCTGACACCAACAAACTACAGGTGGTATTAGAAATTCTTAGAGCAGAAAAAGAAACAGGATAAGAATTTTTTTTTAAAAATAAAGCACGACATGGAATAACATATGTGAAACTTCCACCTTGAAATTCTCTGGAGTTGAAGTATAATCTGGCATTCCTATTGTCATCAGGCCACAAAACTCAAGGTTTGGGCAGCTCAAACTAACATGTTTTGCAAGTTCCACACATCCAGTTGGTTCTACTCCAGATTTTGCTGCACATTGGATATAAGAATACTTTTATCGTATTGGGAGGAAAGTGCAGGAAGAGTGTGGATATATACTTCATATCCATCAATTGGTGAGGGAAATAATCGAGTGAAAATTGTAAACACAAAAGGCTCAACTTTTCAAGTAGATAACAACTACTCCAGGTACTCACTTTCCTCTCCACTTGTATTTACTTGGACTAACACTTTTAAAGGTTTTCTTCCAATGTCTGAGACCACACGATCAAGACGATTTGCAATCTACATAACAGAAGGCAAATGATAAAACAATGAGTGGGTGAATAAAAGAACCACTTGCCAAAAAATGCTCAGAGAAAGTACAGGTAGTCCAATACAAGCATCTTTTTCACTAATAAAAGTATAGCATATGGAAGCAGTGGATGGTTAAAAGCACATAAGGTGATGAACACAACATAAAGAATTGCTGGAAAATCACTGATGTGGCAGTAAAATCAACACCGTCAAAACATGAAATAGCCAAAAAGTCTTTTAGATTTAGCAATAGTTATTCAGGTAGTATAGAATTTAACATTTTTATTCTGTAGTGTTAATTCATCCATTTTAATCTGTCATTAATAATTTAGTAAGAATTCCCATGGGTGATAGATTCTTGTTTTGCAAATTATTCTAGGTTCTTCCTTCCTGCTTTTGGCCTTGCCATGTATAAATGTCAGGCAAGCAATGTTTTGAGGACAAATCTTATACAAGGGCTGATACTAGGGGGTTGCAGATTTATGTAGAATAATCATCGAAAAGATCTGGTATCTCTCTATCTGTTTGTCAGTGCATTGACCTCTCCTTGTCTCTGTTTACCCTTTATTATCCTTTTTTTGCAAACTCTAGAAGCAACAAAGATTCTTCTTGCCATCCAATCAAAAAGTAAAAGACAAAAAGTCTTCTCCTTGCATATCAGAAAATTTTCTAGAATAATCAAAATGGAAACGACATCTTAAAGAATAATTGCTGTCACTTGAAAAGTGATATATTTCTACATAAGATTTTTGCAGAGTTAGTGTTTACCTTTTCATCATCTACAGTTTCCACAATGACAAGGTTTGGTACACCAGCTGCACAGTAAGAGCAAGGAATAAACACATATCCTTGGAAAATACAAAGGATATACTTATCACTTTCAAAATTAGTATATAAGTCTTGTGGTTGCCTCCAATCATTTCTGTTAAGAATAATTGGGTAGTATGTATAAATTGTTAATAGTAAGAGGGTGTATATGTAATTCTTATTATTGTAGGTTAACTATAAATACAATTGATGTATGAGAACTAGGTTAAGTTTTTAACCTCTCTCTAAATATTGTCTATAATATTATTGTTAATTCTCTAAACTTAACATGGTATCAGAGCAATACGATCATAAATATATATTCTGAATAAATTAATTTTTTGTTCGTGGTGTACTGTGTTTGTCGGAGTACTGTTGTGGTGTTTTTGTGTTGTGAAGCTTGGTTGTTCGTCGTCGTTTGTGTTGCGGTACTATTGTGGTGTCGCTTGTCGTGGTGGAGAGGCGCAGACGAAAACCAAGGTGGCCGTCGTGGTGGTTGTGGTGTGGCTGTTGTGGTGGTTTGTCATTTGTCATTGGTCTTAGTTGTGGTCAGTGATAATTGTTGCTGTGTGGTTTGCTGTTCGTTGTGTTGTACTGTCGTGGTCTTGCCTGGTGGTGGTGGTGGTGGTGGTCGACTGGTGTGGTTGACGTTGGTGGTAGTCGATTGGTGTGGTTGATGGTGTGCTCCTCATCGAGTTTTGGTGGTGGCTTCTGTTCTGCTTCGGTGGTGTAGTCGGCGTTGGTGGTTGCCTGGTTGTTAGTTGAAGTGTTTGCGTCGTTGAGGCGGCGCAACGAGCAACAGGGTTTCGATTGAAACCCTAGTAGTGGAGAAGACGATCCTTAGTGGGTCGGTTTGGCTCAGCGGGTTTGGATTGTTCTTTAGCCCAACCCAGTTGAGATAACTAGTCCAGTCCAGCAGCAGACCGGTTCTTTCCCAGTTTAGACTCGGTTCTTCACCATCTGGTCCGGCTCAGGACCTGATCAGTTCTGGTCCAGCTCTGTTCAGTTCTTCCGAGCTGGTTCGCACCAGTTTAGTAGTATAGCACCTGTTTCTTGACCGGTTTTACTCTGGTTCAGCGGTCAAACAGCCTCAGCAAGGCCGGTTCACTGGTCCAGAGGGCTAAACCAATCCTGTTCAACGGTTCTCTAGGTCGGTTCAGCCTTCCAACAACCATCTCTTCTTCGGTTCAACAGTGCAATAGGTGGTGAATCTTGTCTGGTTCAGTGATCTACTGATTTTCTTTTTCTATTTACTGCACTCTTATGGAACCCAAGCAAAACACTGAGTTGCTTACTATTACACGAGAGGAGTATAATCAGTTTCTATCCCAGCAACAGGCTGTCCCATCTTCCTCCACTGCTACTTTTGCCCAGTCAGGTATTACTTCCACTTGTTTATTGTCCTTTACTCGTAATCCCTGGATCATAGACTCTGACGCTTCTGACCATATGACTAGTGCGTCTGATGTTTTTTCGACTTATCAGTCTGCTACTTCCACACGTAGTGTTACTCTTACTAATGATACTTGTTCTAAAGTTTCAGGTCTGGGGACTACTCATATGAGTCCTGATATGTCCCTATCTTCCGTATTGTTTGTTCCTCAGTTTCTTTTTACTTTACTTTCCATTAGTAAGATTATTCGTTCTCTCAATTGCTCTGTGACCTTTTATCCTTCTTATTGTGTCTTTCAGGATCTCAAGACGAAGAAGAAGATTGGTATGGGACATGAAGTTGGTGGCCTATATTACCTTGATTTTCATTTACCTACTCGGGCTCTACAGACCTCGTTGTCTCCTTTTCAATGACATTGTCGTCTTGAACATCCCTCTCTCCAGAATTTGAAGCACCAAGTTCCCAGTCTTAGTTGTGTGCCGTTTTTGTCTTGTCAAGCTTGTCAACTTAGTAAGCATTACCGTGTGTTATTTCAGTCTAGAGTCAATAATCGTGTGTCTAGTCCATTTGAGTTTATACATTCTGATGTATGGGGTCTAATAAAAAATATTTCATCCAATAAATATCCTTATTTTGTGTCATTTGTGGATGATTACTCTCGTGTGACTTGATTATTTTTGATGAAAGCTCGGTCTGAATTATTCTCTATATTTGAGACCTTTCGTAAGGAAATAAAAACTCAGTATGGTTGTCGTATTCGTATTTTATGTTCTGATAATGCTCGAAAATATGAATATGATCCTTTTTCAACTTATCTTAATAAAGCTGACATTATTCATCAACTTCTTGTGCTTACGCATCGCTACAGAACGGTATTGCTGAACGCAAGAACTATCATTTGTCGGAAGTCACCCGTGCCCTGTTATTTCAGATGAATATTCCCCGATACTTTTGGAGTGATGTTGTTCTTACTGTTTGTCATCTTATTAATCGTATGCCATCCTCTGTGTTAAATGGACAAAGTCTATATTCTGTCATTTTTCCAGGTAAGACCTTATTTTCCCTGACTTCTAAGGTTTTTGGATGTGTCTGTTATATTCACAATTTGGGTCCTAAGTTTGACAAACTTGATCCTCGAGCTACCAAATGTGTATTTCTTGGTTACTCCCGCACGCAAAAGAGGTATCATTGCTACAGTCCTTCTCTGCACCGATACTTAACTAGTACCGATGTCACGTTTGAAGAATTTGTTCCATACTTTCCAGCACTTTCTCAACCTTTGGATCTAGATTTTGGATCATCTCCTGTACCACCATCTCTTTCCTCATCTTTAGATATCCCGCTGCCCACTGTGTTACCATCTACTTTATCTCTCCGTGTTTACTCTCGGCGTCCTCGCCCATCGACTGAGGTGCCTGTACCGTCTTCCTTGCCGCCTTCTGATCCTGGTACATCAGGTAATTTAGATTCTTTACCTATTGCTCTTCGCAAAGGTATTCGTTCATGTGTTACTAACCATCCTATTTCTCATTTTGTTTCATATGATGTCTTGTCTCCTGTCTTCTCCTGTTTTACTTCCCAATTATTTGCTATATCTATTCCTAAGTATTTACAAGATGCATTATCTGATCTTGGTTGGAGGAAAGCTATGGAGGAGGAGATGGATGCTTTACATCATAATGAAACTTGGGATCTTGTTCCTTTACCTCCTGGTAAACGAACTGTTGGCTGTCGTTGGATGTATACTGTTAAATTTCATCCAGATGGTTCTGTGGAGCGTCTCAAAACCTGACTTGTTGCAAAAGACTTTACTCACATTTATGGTGTTGATTATGAGGAGACTTTTTCTCCTGTTACCAAAATTTCCTCTGTTCGTATCTTAATTTCTTTGCCTGCTAATTTTGATTGGCCCTTGTTTCAGCTAGACGTTAAAAATGTCTTCCTACATGGTGACTTGGTTGAAGAGGTATACATAGAGCAGCCACTTGGGTTTACTGCTCAGGAGGAGTATGGTAAGAATATATGTCGGTTAAAGAAATCTTTGTATGGTTTGAAACAATCACCGAGGGCATGGTTTGGTAAGTTTTCAAATGCAGTTTTAGAGTTTGGTCTTCTTCGATGTCAGACAGATCATTCTGTGTTTCATAGACAGACAGATGCTGGATATGTCCTATTGGTGGTCTATGTAGATGATATTGTGATTACTGAAAATGATTCTGAAGGGATTGCCAAGTTAAAAATATTCTTACAGGATTGATTTCATACTAAGAATTTGAAAAAACTCAGGTATTTCTTGGGTATTGAGGTGGCTCAATCTAAACAGGGTATTTGTTTATCCCAGATGAAATATGTACTTGACATGCTTGAGGAAGCAGGTTTGCTAGGTGGTAGACCGATAGATGTTCTTATGGATCCGAATCAAAAATTATTAATGGATGATGGTGCATTATCTGAGAATCCGAGTCGGTATCGCAGATTGGTTGGGAAGTTTAATTATCTCATTATTACTCAACCGAATATTTCCTATACAGTCAGTATAGTAAGTCATTTCATGGGATGTCCTAGAGTACCACATTGAGAGACAGTTACTCGTATTCTACGATATCTCAAATGAGTTCCTGGACTTAGAATGTTATATCGAGCTAATGGACATCTTAGAGTGGAAGGCTTCTTAGATGCTAATTGGGCTGACTCTTCTTCTGATCGGAGATCAACCACTGGTTATTGTACTTTCTTAGGAGGTAATGTTGTCTCATGGAAAAGTAAAAAACAACTTGTGGTAGCAAGATCCAGTGCTGAGACTGAGTATAGAGAAATGACACATACGACGAGTGAGTTGACTTGGCTACTACACTTTCCCAGGAAATTGAGTTTTCAATTCAACTTCCTTTACAGTTGTTCTGTGACAACCAGACAGCTATCCATATAGCTGCCAATCCTATATTTCACGAGAGAACCAAACAAATTGAGGTTGATTATCACTTTATTTGGGACAAGATAGTAACTGGGGAGATTACAACTCCATTTGTGAAATCTGAAGATTAGTTTGCAGATATGTTTACCAAAGCATTGAGTCGTACACGTCTTATAGCTATATGTTCCAAACTTGGATTATATGATATATATAGTCCAGTTTGAGGGGGAGTGTTAAGAATAATAGGGTAGTATGTGTAAATTGTTAATAGTAAGAGGGTGCATATGTAATTTTTATTATTGTAAGCTAACTGTAAATACAATTGATGTATAAGAGTTTGATTAAGTTTTTAATCTCTCTCTGTTTCTCTCTAAATATTGTCTCTAATATTATTGTTAATCCTCTAAACTTAACAATTTCCAATTGGTTTGAGTTGGATACTTTAATATAATATTAGAGCTGAGTTTTGGGATATTTTGGGTAAGACTATGTTTCAATGTCATTGTTTTGGTATTTGATTCCGAACTTGTTTGATCGCATGTGCAGGGAAGTGTTAGGGCTTGTCCTAGATCAGTATAACAACTCCAATACGGAATTTGTGGGCTTTTCCACTAATTGCAAATTAGGTTTGAGCTTCATGAATTAATACTATCCTCTTAACTAGAAAAAGAGGAAAAGAACAAAAAGAGAGTAACAAATGCAAAAAAGACAACGATGGCTCCAAGGCATGGTCATTGCATACATAGTGAAAAGTTGTAGAGAATAGGAGAGTAGTCAAAAGGAAGGGATACATAATCATGGATTACATGAACAGACAGATATTTTTACCCACAGCCAAAGCAGAAGGCTGTACTCTTTCCATACAAACGTTCACAGAGTTTATCCCACCTAAACGGTTAAACATAAATCCATAACAAAGAATTGATTTTCATATCCACTTATAACTTCTTTAATTATGGCCCAAAAACTCCAAGCATCCAGGGGTTCTCGAATTGAATTGCCAATCAAATTCAAGATTACTGCCTTCAACCTGGATTAATATAACTTCAACAAGAAGGGCCACTGAATAATACATTTATTCACACAATTATCCCATTATCCCATAAACACTATAAGTTTGCTACCCTGCCTTCAGTACATCTAAGAATAAGAGACACAGAAAGACATCACAACAAAGCAACAACGAGACAGAGAGAGATAACGCGAAAGAGAGAGAAGTTATACATAACATACTTAGAAGAGGCTTGACTTTGTTGCTCTGCAGATTTCCAATAAAATGCCACTCAATATCCTCCGGAAGCTGCATTTATTCACTCAATTAGCCAAAAAGTTCAACACTTTCCTCCAAACCCAACATAATCCTTTTGTTTCCCAACTACAGAAAGAATCTAATTCGACACAATAAATCAAATTGTTACGAATTGTAAAATTCATATTTTTCACTTTCACAATTATTTCGGCAGCCAAACAGAGACACAATTGGGGAGAGAAAGAGAGAGAGAGAGAGGAATTAAGACCTGAGGGGCTTTTTCGATGAGCTCTTGGACGTAATTCTCGCCAAAACGGCGGTGACCGGCGTCGTAGACTTGGCGTATGACAGAGACTGGCTTGGTCTTGCTGACGGCGACGACTCTGATCTGGTCGGAGCAACGACCCGACCGATCGGCAACCTGCTTGACCCGCTGGAGCACAGATCGGAGAGCAGTTGCTGCGACGCCTTCCATGGCGGAAGCGGCCATTGGAGATTGCTCAGTTCCTGTCACTTTATCTTTTTCTCCCTCTGTCGTCGGAGCTACTTGATTGTTCATCGTTTCATTTTTCATGCTAATACACAACAGCTCGACGTTTATGTATCAGAATATGTGGGTCTTGGCTCATGAAGTCACAACTATCTAAAAGACCCGTTTATTGTAGTAGTATTAATTGAATTGAATTTATTATTTATTATTATTATTTAGGGGTGTAATTCAGGCCGGTTGGACGGATTGGACAATTAATTCTAACCCAATTTTAGGTATATAATTTTTAACCCTAACCTTACCTCGGGTTAAGGCCTTAACCCGAGCACTGCCCGAGTTTAATTCGAACGGGTTCGGGTTGAATTCGGGTTAATGATCTCGAGTTGATTTTAATTGATTTGGAGTTGCTTTACAGGTTCAATTCGGGTTGAGTTCGGGTAAAGCCCAAAATAGACTTATTGTTTTAAATGAATACATATATTACATAATATTCACCTAAATTAACAATCAATAACTCCAATCAAGTTTTTAACAGTGCTAATACTAGAACAAAAATAAAAATGAACAACAGAGACAGAGAACGATAGAATAAAAATGAAAAAATCAGTGCTAATGTTATATATATATGTAAATTTTTTTTTTAATTTGTCGAGTTCGGGTTGAACCTGTGAACCCGAGACCTTAACCCGAGTCCAATCCAAATTAAATTCGGGTTGGGATTTTTTAACCAAACTCAACCCAAGTATTAAAAATTTTTATCCAAACCTTAATTTTTTCGGTTGAACTCGGATTGAAATCGAATTGTTCAACCCAAGTTGCACCCCTATTATTATTGAATTAAAATTAATGCTGGTGGGTTTACGTGCGTCCACCAGCAACCGTGGTCGTGGTCTGCTTACTTATTGATGTGGTCATGGTGGTGTTTTATGCACAAATCATGATATAAGTCGTACATTGATTCGAGTCAATTTTAATGTAATGCAACTGATGGTATAATGATCCTGATTTGCAATCACAATCTTGTAAGGGGTTTGAGTCTCACACACCTTCTTCTCCCTACCTTAATGAACGACCAGAATAATATTCTTGATATCCTCTTATTAAAATATAAAGTGTGACAAAAACAAAAATTACTGGAAGAAGAAATACATGAATTCATGGAGAAGAATGTCTACTCAATGGCACTGGTTGGTGCAGCACTATGATGGAATATCATCCATCTGAGAAGTTCCAATGCCAGAGCAATCAAGGCCAAAACTCCAAGAATAGCAACATAAGACAATTTCCATTTTTTAGCAGGACTTTGGTTGTCTATCCCTTCAAATATATTAGCTACAATCAGAACAATCAAAGCATATCCCAGAAGCTGATGATATATCACCCAGAATTTTCGGCATTTGTGTTCTTCCCTTGGCTGCAAACAAATGGCCAGTACCTGATTGGCACTACAAAAATGTAAGAGGCTATATGATGAAACACGCGTAGCAAAGTTATCATGTTATCCAGATTTGATCTATTCATGCTCTCGTGGCATCACTGGGTTAATGGAAAGTAGATAGATTGAGCAGAGTATTTGAGCTTACTTGGATTGTTGCGAAGGTGAATATAATGGTACCAAGAATCCCATGTGTACTCATGGCGTGATGTTTGTTCATATGCCTGAGAGACAGACCAAGTCCCCATCCAATTGTGCCCATTAGGAATCCTGAGACTTGACAGAGAATGTGCAGAGAATACCATTCATTGTACTGCAATGGCAGTTTCTTGTAGTACCTCGCGATAATCACTCCAATGGGCAACAGCATTCCCCATCCGATGATGTTTACAGTTCCATGGACCTGTTGGAAGCTCACACAGAATCATAGGGTGAATATTGATGCTCCAAAATGCGATATTTTCTGGCGAGAGGAAAGGTTTGAAGAGGACACTAGTGGGCGTTGTAATAAAGAATGAATTTAACAGTTTGAGATGAGATTCAATGGTTGATAACTAAAAAGGCTCTTGTGATCAGTTAATTTTCTTACAGTTCGTAGGTGGCGATGGTGATGCAAGACATATCGACTCCTCCATGATCTTAGATCTGCTATTGTTCCACTATTGGGGTTCTGAAGAGAAAGAGTGTGTATTTGGGGCACTATGTGGGAATCGCCATGCTGCACATGAACTCTTCCCAAGTTCATCAGAGGAAAATTTTCACCATTTGAAGAGGTTTGGGCATTGACAGAGGGGATAAACCAAATCATACAGAGATTTACAATGCATAGGGAAGTCACAGAGATTCTCTTCCTTCCTCTCCTGTTTCCCACCCCCTTTTGCTCCATGTTGAAGATGCCCCAATAAAGTAGTGAACTAAATACAAGCAGACGTGAAAATTCAAATTTTCGGGGGAAAAAAAAAACTGTGCAACAAGAATTGCCAATATCAATTATGTATTGAAAAAAAAAATTGCCACAAGCTACAGTGTTGGGTTGTGATTACTAAACACAATCCTGCAATTCCATTGGAAACCAAGTTACGAAGCTGCAACGCATTGTACCAAAATGCAACTATTTCATAACGAGGAATAAAACATTCATAAAGTCATTGCACATTCAAATTGTGACCTAAAGTTCTTCTTAAGTACTATTAGGGTCATAAGAATATATGCTTTACTTAACATACTAGAGAAACATCTCTTGTGCTTTAATTTCTGTCGAAAATCTGATTTTATTCCAATCTTCGACTTTTCTTTTTCTTTTCAAAGTCATTGTCAGATTTGTTTCATTGTCACCTGCTTTTCTATGTTGTTTGCTAGAGAAATATGAGAGAAGACATGTCTAGCTTACTTGGGCATGCAAAGTATGGATTTGAAAATAAACGAAGTCGGAAAACTTGAATACTAATCCCATAAATTTCTGGTGGAACAACTAAATAGGTTCTCTGGATCAATACATGGCAGCCTGTGGTCAGTGACCACAATCAGGGGATACAGAAATTGTGGTAAGCCCAACTTTGCTTCGCTTCCAATCAAATTTCTTCAGGCATATGCAGTAATTTTTAAGTAGTCACTTGAATTAAGACCACACAGAAAAAGCAAGACTTCTAACTTCATTTTCCTAATGTCAACTCTCCTGCCAATGCCTCTATAAAACCCCAATTAATCTTCCCTAAAGCATACAGACCAATCCTCAAATTATAGCCATGGAGTCCGTAAAATTCTTCTTTTTGGTACTCTTTGTAATGATTAATATCGTTGCAGCATCATATACAGATGCCACTGATGATGACTCAAAGATGTTAAACGATCCAACATCGGTTGAAACTGAAAGGACAATTTCTTTGCGAGGGGTGAGCCGTTTCCTAGCTCAACAAAACCTGCCAGCAAATTATACTTGCAACAAATTCCCCAGGGTTTGTCGTTTGAAGGGTAGTTCCGGACCAGATTGCTGCAAGAAGAAATGTGTCAATGTGAAGACAGATCGCTTGAACTGCGGGATGTGTGGCTACAAGTGCAAGTACACAGAGATATGTTGTGGAGGGAAATGTGTGAATGCATTCTGTCACAGAATGCATTGTGGAGGGTGCCATAACAAGTGCAAGAAGGGGAAGTTCTGCACGTATGGGATGTGCAGTTACGCCTAAGTTCTACACTAAGTGTGCTGAATCTGTTGATACTACATCTAGATTATAGCCACAAGTTTGGCAATGACTTTATGAATTGTGGAAATATAAATGAGGTTGTGTCTTGTCTCTTTACTGCTTTAATTTATCGATATCAAGTAAAATAAAAATTACTATTAACTTAAAAAGTGTTTCTTCTTCCACAATCTAACATGAATCAATGGTGCAAGCTTGGTGCTTTTCTTTGAACTGCAGTATAGTAAACCGAGGTTATTCCATGGCTTGCAACCTTGATCAATGTTTTTATATGGAACCTTTTATTTGGTCAAAATGAACATGTGCTAGGGAAGGTACACAGTATCAGTTGATTACTTCATATGTTAGTGAATCCTTTATACAGTCAATTCTCCCATGATGAATTCAAGTGTAACCTACCTGACGTGGTAAGGACATTGTGGGGGTGACTTTGGCCCCATATTTAAGCTGAATATGAAGCCACAATTCTTACTTATTCTAACAAAAAAGGGATATTCTTTCTTAGTAATGAAGAACCATCTCAACGAAACGGTCTTTATTGAACTCATACTATAACACAGACTCTTGATGCACACAATCATCCGTAGGTCATGCACATTGATAGACCGATCTTTCTTATGAGTGTGAGGCTTGAGACCTCAAGTATCGGGAAGTCTTCCCATACCAATATAAGTTTCCGTTTTTAAACGCTATCAAAACTAGATCGATGCCCGCCATATAACCCTGACAATTCTAAACAAATTCCATGAACCTTGACATTAAATTTCAAATAGAATTAGATGATTTGTGTTTAGACTTAACATGTTCGCATAAACTTGTTAGACCTATCAATTAAATTAATTAATAAGAAGTTAAATATGACATGAACATACTAAATATGACTTTTATATAGCATGAATCAAAACAACGCGATGAACATAGTTACACATGACTACGAGTTAATTGGTTAACTAAGTTCCTAAAGTATTTAATTTGTGTCATTTTGGTCCCCATAGATGATCGTTAAATTTTTAACAGAATGGTCACGTATTGAGTACGTGATACCGTCTAAAAAAATGACATGTGACCATTTGCATAAAAAAAATTTAATGATTCGTCTATGTGAGAATCAAAATAATACGAATTAAATACTTTAGAGATCAAATTGACAAAATTAATACATTAAGTACTAAACTGACAAAAAATACATATTTTAATGACCAAAAATGCTATTAACACTTGAATAAATCTTTATGCGATACAAGGAATATAACATCATCAATTATCAACTATAATAGTGCTATCTATTATCATGTACTGCCGTCATGCACACTTATCACTTAATACATGCAACAAGTTGGAAAGATTTTGGGTCATGGGTTGTACTGGACATCAACCAAATTAGTCTTGGCCAACCAGATTGACCCAAAGAAAGTCAAAATTAAACGAATATCGCATTTATGAGAAGTTGTTATATAACGGATTGAGCATTTGTGCTTGTGTACCTAAATCAAACCAAGAAAAATAGCCCCTCTCTCTTACTTGACAATGTGGGCTTTGAGTTGGTCGGGTTAAACAGTAGCTCCCACCAATGTTTTTGATCTTTCCAAGAACCTGCTTGCCTCTTGACACCATTAACTAACTTCGCATTAAACAGTAGGCCCAATGCATGGTTCACTTCTTTCCTTGTGTCAAAGGTCTCATGCAATTTTAACAGGAAAGTTTATCTTGAGAATTCAGTTATGGACTCATCTAAATCTCAATCACAGCTTAATTTTTCACCACAAATTTCATGGTTCTTTCCCCTTTTCTTCTTTTTCGAAATACACACGAGGCTTGGAATAAATTCATTGGTGCCTAACTTCGGATTACTTGAATTACATGTAACTATTGATAAAGACCACCATTAGAGATTCATGGTACATACATATCCTTTCATAAATCTCTATAAATAGCCTGCCATCTTTTCTTCATTTCATATACAACCATCCATATCTTTGAGTTCTCTCCTTCCTCTCTCTCTCTCTCTCACACACACACACATAAACTCGTACATTCATATATACGCACAAATACACACTGCATATGCTATGGAGTCTTCCAAACTATTGATTATCTTGTTGGTACTAACGGCGACGACCATTACCCTTTTTGCGACACCAACTCGTGAAGCATTACGTCTTAATGGTGATGAAGACAGCATATATCATTTTCATGCTCCCAAGGGAGAGGATGCATCTTCTCTCCGACGGAGTGGTCGTTTCCTTGCCCAAAAACCGCGATCTGTGATGACGTTTGACCAATACCCTAGGGCTTGTGCTGCCAAGGGAAGTGCTGGCCCGGACTGCTGCAGAAAACAATGTGTTAATGTGATGACAGATAGCCTTAACTGTGGAAAGTGTGGGAAGAAGTGCAAGTACTCGGAGATTTGCTGCCAAGGTTGGTGCGTGAACCCGACCGTCGACGAGAAGCATTGTGGCCGGTGCAATAACAGATGCAAGAAGGGAAGCTCATGTGCTTATGACTTGTGCAGCTACTCTAATTAGACATGCATGCTAGCTAGTTGCTACCTCTGGCTAGGGTTAGCTGATATATATGCAGTTCATAATTGAAACAGATAGTGATTTGGTGTTTGAATTCATGATTATGTGAAACAATAAGATGTATCATCTCTCAATAATGTGCTTATGCAAATCTTGCTCATGTTGTAACTCTTGTAATATATAGATACTACTTGATTTCCTATATACTTTTTTCGATGAATAAAATATGTTGTTTTTAAAAATTTAGATGTATGTCCGAAGATGGATCGATGTATGCTCACAAGAGATATACTCGAGAAAATAAAACTACCTAATTTAGAAAAGAATGTCTTAGAATTCGAGAGACTAGATAACAACTTGTCTCGCATAACCATGACAACAAGCTTCTCCCACAACCTGAGGGGATTAGCCACCACACTACAACTCCTATATCGTTAGCTCAATAGGCGTTATCTCATGTATATGTTGCTTTGTGTCCTTGTGGCAATGAAGGATAACCCTTCGAAAACATGTATTTTGGTATAAATCTAAGCATAGTCCAAGCTAGTCATCTATATGCATGCGTGGCCCTCCGCCTTAGTTTTCAACATGTTAGTATTTGTGCAAAATTGCAACAAATGAATGTTTTTTTTCGGAAGGTAAATGTATTAATATAAAACGGATATACAAGGATAATCACCTGCAAAATGTACAATGGAGTCACTTAGGACCCAAATACAAGACAAGAAACCCAAACATCCAGGGCTCACGACACAAGTCTGTAAGAGATGCCGTGAGTAAGAACATCTACCACAGAATTGTTGACAAGAATATAGAGCATGAAACCAATATATCAAAACACAGCAGCCCAAGTACAACAACAAAGAGCAAGCCAAAAGTCAGTAGCATAACATGCCATAGCAGTAGCAAAAACCAACACAACGCAAAGCAGCCCATCTCAACATAGCAGCAACAAACAACAAGCGGACAGCCTCAGAACAAAGCAAAACAGCCCAAAACAAAGCAGAAACAGCCCTGCTCCACATAGCAGCAACATCCCTGCTCCATATAGCAGTAACAAACTATTTGCAGTAGAAGAAAACAGGACAAGGCAAGCCTGCCTAGCTTAACATAGCAACAACAACCCATATGCAGAAGTAAAAAAAGAATACGACTAAGCAGACCAACACAACATAGCAGCAACAGCCATCAATCTGACAGCCCCAATCAACAAGTAGGCCACAGGAAAAAGCAAAGCAGCCCAACACAACATAGCAGGGCTAAAAATTCTCAAACAAGAACAGAGGAGAGGATCCAATGATGCCCTTGGCATATAAGAGACCCTCCACCTACCAAACACCTCAATAAGAGACCCTGCAACCATAACATCCCAGCACAAGCAAAACAGCCCCAAGCCGCAGCACAACCAGAGCAAATAGCCCTTCATAGAAAACGCAAAACAGCCCCAAGCAGCAGCACAACAAGGCAATACAGCCCAACAGCAAAAGGCCAAAAAATGCAAAGCAAACCGAGGGATCCATGGTTCAGCTCAGCTCAAATAAGCTTCAGGAAGGTTCCATTGTTGTAGCAGAATTGCATTTTGTTGAGTTCTCTTGAATTTCAAGGATATGAGCCTTTCTCTGATGGTTTGCGTGATGGACTGAAGAAGAGAACTTGGGTCTTTGCTCTATTTTTTGAAAATTCTCCCATTTCTCTCAGTCCACAAAGAATAGACAGTAACAGAAAGGCCAAGCTTTAAAATAGTTGTCTTCATTGATTTCCCTCTCCACTGTTGAGCAACTCAAGAAATAGAATCAGTCCATTGTCTCTGCTGCCACTGTTGGTTGATCAGGAGCATAACATCATTCCAACCTTGTTAGAGAAATTACATTCAAAAAAAAAATGATTGTGTGTTTCATCAACTCTCCTACATAGAACACATTGTGGGTTAATCTGAGCTGCAAATCTTTGAATTTTGTCCTTGGTGCTCAGCTTACATCTGATAGCAAACCAGAGGATGAAGACCATTCTAGGGATAGCTTTACCATACTAGACAAGTTTATACCATTGCACGGTTGGACCTTCACTCCTAATATGTTCCTAGGCAGAATTAGCAAAAAAGTTACCCCCCGCAGTTAAAGTCCACTTAACTGAATCCTCAGTATCTTGGTCAGGAAGATAGCTTGGCATTGCATCGATGATTTCCTGCACTTGAATGGAAGTACCAATTGTCCAATTCCATTGGTTGTTCAAATTAATTTTGCTAACCTTCGCGTTTCTTCGAATTCTAGATTCTAGCAAGATCCTTGGGTTGTTTCTTTGAAGGAGTGGACCAAGGGGATACCAGTTATCCAGGCACAAGCTGGTAGCATTCCCATTTCCTACCTTCTGGATAATGCATGACTTGAGCAATTCTCTAAGTTTAAACAAATTTCTCCATTTCCAAGAGCATGATTAGGTGGCTTTGAGGTCCCAAAGGATTCTCCCCTTGATGTAATAGGCATGAATCCATTGAGACCATAAATTCTCCTTGTCATTAAAAAGCTGCCACAGGTGCCTCATAAGCAGTGCTCTATTCCAATCCCTCAACCTTTTGATACCAAGCCCTCATTTCTCTTTAGGTTTACATACCTCTTTCCAAGAGACCTTTGCTCTCGTATGACTAAGATCAATACCTTTCCAGATAAAAGATCTCAAGGTCTGTTCAATTCTATGAATAACCTTCTGTGGAAGACTCAAATGAGAGGCCCAGAATATGTGCAAGCTACATAGAATAGAAATGACCAGTTGAACTCTACCAGCATATGAAAGTGATCGATTGACCCAAAACTTAACTCTTGATTCCACCTTTTCAATAAGACTAGAGTAGTGTTGATGCTTCAATCTAGACGAAATGAGTGGAACACCTAAGTATTTGATTGGCAAATTCCCCTCCTCAACAACAAACAAATTCTTGATATGACAAGCAGTATCTTCATTTATTGCACACAAGAAAATATTACTCTTTCCTGCATTAACCTGGAGCCCTGAAGCCACACTAAACTGGTCCAAGAAATTCTTAATCACAGAGCCAGAGTTCATGTCACCATAGCAAAACAACATCAAGTCATCAACAAATGAAGGTTGGGCAATTTTGAGAGTTTTACACCTCCAATGGAATCTGAAGCTTGAATTTGAACTAATGTTGAACTGGATAAAAAGAGATAAACACCCCATTGCAATAACAAAAAGGTAAGGGGACATAGAGTCACCTTGCCTTAAACCCTCCTACTAGGGAAGTATTCAACCAGCCCACCATTGATATTCACTGAGAATCTAGCAGAGGTAATACATGCTTGAATCCATCTCCTCATGGTGTAAGGGAAATTAAGAGCCTCCAATGCTTCAAACAGAAAAGTCCAGTCAAGTGTGTCATAAGCTTTCCTCAAATCCACCTTTAGAGCACATCTAGGGGACCCTTTATTTTTATGGTAATCCCTCATTAACTCTTGAGTGAGTAGAATATTGTCACCGATCTTTCTTCCATGGACAAAGGCTGCTTGGTTTGGGTTTATAAGACTAGGAAGAGAACCTTTAATCCTATTGGCAATAATCTTGGATATAGCTTTATACATGACATTGCAACAAGAAATAGGTCTGTAGTCCCCCATAGTAGTAGGATTGAGAACCTTGGGTACTAACGCAATGATGATACTGTTTACCTCCTTCAATAACCTTTCCGTTGAGAAAAATTCCTTCACAGCAGCAACAATATCCTTCTCTATGATATGCCAAGCCCTTTTAAAAAACACAACATTGAACCCATCAGGACCTGGGGCTTTTTGGTCATTGAAGGAGAAAAAAATTTTCTTGATTTCCTCCTCAGTGACTTCCCTTTCCATTTCAGCGGCTTGTTGATCAGTAACTCTGTTTTGGATAATCAGTTGCAACAAATCCCTGCTCTCATTTGAATATGAGGGCCGTCCCAGGAGCTTTTGAAAATAATCCAGAGCCTCAACTTTCACAGCTTGCTCCCCTCAACCTTTATGCCATCAACTCTCGTAAGAGCCAAAATCTTTTTCTCGTTCCTTCTATTAGCCATAGTCTTGTGGAAGAAAGATGTATTCTTGTCCCCTTCGCTGAGCCATTGGACCCTAGATTTTTGTTTGTAAAATCCCTCCTCAATCTTAGCTGCTTGAATGTACTTTGCAAGGAGTTGTTGTTGCTCTTTATTCATGGCAGTGTCACTTGGGTTACCATCCAACATTCTTTGACATCTCTCCAAAGCTTCTTTGGCTCTAATTGTAACTTCCCTAATATTCTTGGTTATCACTTTAAACATTGTCTTGAGAAGTTTGAGTTTGCAGCAAATATGATACTGACAAGTCCCTTGAATAGGCTGTGATCAAATCTGATTCACCAAGTCTAAGAAATCCTCTCTCTCAGCAAGGAAGTTAAAAAATTTGAAAGGGTTGTTTCTCCTTTCCACTTGAAGTCCTAAATGCACAACAGCAGGACTATGGTCAGAAACACCAAGAGGTAAAAAATTTGTCATAGCCTATTGAAATGTGAGGCTCCACATTTCATTCACCAGGACTCTATCCAGTTTACGAGCCATACATCCATAACCACCCCTCTTATTACGCAATGTAAATTGAATACCTGAGTACCTGAGATCAATAAGCTCAAAATCCTGTAAGCATTTATCAAATTCTTCCATTCCAGAGTTTCATCTATTCTGTCCCCCTTCATTTTCCTGTAAACTCCTAATAGCATAAAAATCACCTAAAACCACCCAAGGTTCATTTGAGAAGATACTAGCATGGTAGATAAGATTGCTCCATAATGGTCTTCTTTCTCTATCATCATTAAATCCATAGACAAAAGAGGTTGTGAATTATACCCTACTTTCAAGATGCTTGATCTTGCAATGGACAACTTGATCAGACTCAGATAACTTACTAAGCTCCACATTATCTGGGTTCCACCTAATCCGTATCTTTCCAAAATTATGACTATCATAGTTTGCTAGACAATTCCAATCTCTAAAGACCCCTGTATGATTCTATTTTTATTTACAGGTTTCACCTTTGTTTCAAACAGCCCCAAAATATCAAGCTTCTGTTCAAAAATAATTTTCCTAACCTCCCATGTTTAGAAGTCTCATTAAGATCTCTAATGTTCTAACATGCACAATTCATTGAGGGGGTTGGATTTTTTTGAGCAAGTGGTGCTCAGCCACCTTGGACTTTGAGTCTTTCTTCTTCCTTTTCTTCTTTTGTTTGGCATTTGTTGAAGTTTAGCACTAATTAGTTCCTCATCCTTACGGACATCCTCGATTGTTTCATTTGGTACGTTTGCTTCAGGCTCAATCTTCGCTCTTAAATCAACCACAATTTCCCCCTTCCTTGTTGAGCTCCTCAAATTTCTTAGATGCCAAAGTAACACCAGCTTGCATGAGCAGTTGAGGAGGGGTACTCTCATTGACTATTATCTTAGTGATATGGTGATCATGACCCAAAATTTCTTATTGAGAAGAGTTAGAGACGCCACCTTGGATAACCATTCCCATATTATTCTTGATCGTGACCGAGGAAGAAGCTTGGTAAGCTCCTATCCGTTCCTCTGCTTGAGTCTGACCAGCCTCTTGCTGCTCTAACCCAATTATAGTTGCAATTGCCTTTCCCTTATCTAGCCTATCTGAGCTGGCCTATAAATGAGCTGGTTTGGGCTTCTAACTTTCCACAATTCTTTGTTTGGGACAAGTTGACTCGTTGTGACAAAAAATGCAGCAGTTATGACAAATTTTAGGTCTCCATTGGTACTCCACCTTGATTTCTATGGTTTCAATTTTCCCCTAGATGTCCATGAGGAGGTCAAAGCTCTCAACCAGTTTTTCAACAACATTCACCTCCACACATAATCTTGCGTAACTTAATCTCCTCTTATTTGCAGTAAGAGTGTCAGCATAAAGCAGTTTACCCATTGCATTAGCAAGGTAGCTTAGTCCTTCATCACTCCAAAATTGGAGGGGGATGTTATGCAACTTAATCCATAGTGGAATTACAGAGTGGTTCTCTTTGGTTAGACAAAGATCAAGATGCCACTTTTTGATGATGAGTGGCCTACCAAAAAAAAGCCAAGGGCCAGCTTCACATAGTTTGGTTCTAGACTTATCATCCATGAACTTAAAAAAATAGAACCCCTTTTCATATGCATAAACCTCAAGGGGGCCCATATTGCCCCAAATCTTGTGAGCTATAAAGCTAACAGATGTAAAGGGAGGTTTTTCTCTATGAAGTAACCAACGAGGCAGTTTCTCCACTCATGACAGCCCTTAGAGACAACTTCCATGGGGGGATGGACAATGATTCTATTCTTCTCTCTTTTGGGTTTAAGTATTGAAGGTTCATTACCTCAGAAGGGTGTTGTTGTAGAGAGTTGAATTTTTCCATAGCATTCTGCTTTAATACTTAGCTCCATGGCTTTGCAGGTGTGGGCTTAGTTTGTGGAACACTCATATGCTTGCTTGGATGCTGCCCATTAGAAGATCCCCCAACCGTAGGAACAGGGGAAGAGTCCCGAACATTGTTACCCGTAGGGAGAGTTGTGAACTCTTGGATGCTGCGGTGGTCCTCTATCTCAACATCAACTGTGGTTGAAGTCGCGGATGGAGTCTTGTTTGCAATAACTTCATTCGGCAACGATGGTGGGTTTGGTGGAGTATCTTTTTGTTCACTGCCTAGTGATGTTTTAGTGCGAGATTGGAGTGACCCACTTTCATTAATAGCTTGGTAGTTGGCAGAACAAGTAGGAGCCCCTTCGATCTTCTTTGGATCTTTGGAAGTAAATGCCTCCCCTGTCATGGCTGAGTTGGAATGATTTGCATAAATCAATTGGAAAGAAGGTTGGGCAGAGGATAAGTAGAAGAAAACAGAGGAAGAGAAGAAGAGGGGATCTGAGTGAATGAGGTGGGTAGCGGTAGAAAATGGAGGATTGAAGGAAATTAGGGGAAGTTGAGAAAAAATTTGACATGAAAATTCTAGGGTTCAAGGAGATTGGGGAAAGGCACAGAGAGCCATGTTTGTTGCCACATTGCAACAAATGAATGTTACTTTGCCTTTGTTGAAGGTTATTATCTTATGGTTCAAAGTCATCTCGATATCAATTATCGATCCAAAGAGCAATGAAATGTATCAATCACAATAATATCGCAGAATGATATTGGACAATCCACATATAATTTTACACACAAAACATAAAATAATATTATATTAAAAAATATCAAATCAAATACGATTCAATATATCAGACAGGACGAAATTTTTGAGCCATGGTTCATCTGTAGTTAATTAGCAATTAGTTTTGCCTAAATATTTTTTGGCCAAAATTAGTAAAGAGTTTTACTTAGAAAGTAACGCACCTCCAGTAATCAAAATTAACGGCCTAACTACTTGAGTGCACCTTACTTGAATTGGAAAGAAGTGTAAAAAATTTCTAGCATGTTTTTTTTTAGGCTGGATGAGCAATTTTTCTTCTAAGTTTAATAACAATAATATTATTTAGTCTTAATTTTTCGACATAATTTATTATAATCATTAAATTAATTACGGATTTCAATAAATACTAAATTTCACTGTCAAATTAATGAATAATAAGGTTTATGACAATAAATTCGGTCCATAAATTAAATTCAAGTAGGATGATTTGTTGAACAATTGTCTTTGGTGGCCTAATTATAGCCTATGTCTCAACCCTTTACATTCAGTATCACAGGAGTCAAAACACGATATATTGAACACTCAAGTGCTACTGTGACGGTTTTTCAAAGCCCAAAGAGAAGATAACGTAGTGACAAAGTGGACTACAAAATAGTTTATAACAAGTTCAACTTTGTTTGGTTCAAAGAAAAAAAAGGTTCAACTTTATCAAAATTGCATCCTTAATTTGTTAGGGTAAGATTATGGCACAGATTACTTACTAGTACTTAGGGATGTCAATGAACTGAAGCAGAGACAGGAGGCAGGGAGTGTAGTCTTTATCCCTGTACCTACTTAAAAAAATTTCGTTCATTCCCGGTCCACTCCAGTTAATGGGTATAGTTTTCATCCCCATCCCCGTCTGTGGGTAAATTTCTAATCTCTGTCCCCGCTTCCCTCGTACCTGTCTAAGCTCAAACCCAAGTAGCATAATCTAAAATTCTAAATAAATTAAATATTTTAAATAATCAAACAATATTCTAACATAGTTTAACACAACATAACATAGATTGCAAAATATAAAAGTCAAAACAATATAGTATTCTATTTAAAGTGTTATTGGACCACAAAAAAGAAATAGAACTATTAGAGATAAAGGAAGAAAAAAAAAATAATATTGAATTAAGAAAACGATAGCACTATACTTGAAATTTTTTAGAAAAATTTTTGTTATTACAATTCATATTAGAGTCATAAAGTGTTAAAAAATGAAAACTTAAAATTTTACTAATTCAATAATTCTTTCAATTTCTTAGTTCACTCTAACAGAAAAATTCAACAATCTCTATTCATCATATTTCTACTCATGATGAAATACAAAACTATTTTACTATCTCTTATCTGTTTTTAGAGCATAGTCAATTCAAACTCCTAACAGTTTCAATCAGTGAGCACAAATATAAAAAAAGACAATCAAGGAAAAAAGTTGATAAGATTACCACATAACAATGTCGCTTTTTAGTTTGATTACCATATTTCTAGATTAGTAGTTACAGTAAATATGTTTAGTTAGGGCTTGAGAGTATATATATATATATATATATATATATATATATATATATAACAGGTAGCGGGGGTAAGGGTAAGTTCATCCCCACCTTCATCTCCATACGGGTATTCTCGTATACGTCCACCATCCAATACGTATAATCCATCCTGGTTCAAACGAGACGGGTTTGGATGAATAACCGTTTTTTCCTAGTCTACTGCCATTCCTACTAGTACTGTCTTAAACTTTATAATTTCTTTTTTTGGGTATATTTACAATAAAATGGAGAGTTTGAGAACAATCATCAAAATGTTAAGATTAATCATAAATATTTAAAGATATATCCTAACATTTTGAGTGCTACCTTATTTTTTTATTTTTTATTTGTCGTAATCAGATCCTATTTAATTATAACTTAAAAAAAAATTTAAATCAATTCAAAATAAAAAATAAAAAATCATACTCTTCAATATTATATAATTTTCAGTATTTAAGTCTTACCCATTTGTTAATGCAAATGAAGAATTGTGAACATGTGAATTTGCAATTGTTATGAATTCGAATTTTAATAATCTTTTAAGGTCAAATTATGAAAAATTTATTCTTTTGTGAATATCATAGTCTTGACATGAGTGACCTGCTCTTGACTAAATTATGAAATAAATTAGTTAAGGTGCGCATAAACTAGTTTGGACATCATTAACCGCTAAACTAAAAAAAAAAATTTGCAACCGTGATTTTAGGCGTGCCATGTTCCCCAATTTGCATTTTGCAGAAAGAATATAATACTTTTTCAAAGCCTAACTTTCATTTCTTCAATTCCTACTTAAGACCACCCCACTAACGCTACCACAAAGCAATCAACGCCGTGCAACTTCCCTATAAATACCCTTCTTATGACCTTCATTTTCCATCCAAAGATTTCAGACTTCCTCATTTCCTCATCTAGTTCTTCATTATCTCTCTTTCTCTCTCTCTCTCTCACACACACACACACAAATAACGATATGAAGGGCCTAAAGGTCATCTTCATATTGGCCATGGTTATGGCTTTAGCCATCATTCTTTCAGCAGCACCAACTGAAGAGGAATCACTAATCAACAACGACAAAGATACTACAACTGAAAATTTTGATGTTCCTTTGCCAGAAACAGAAAAACCAACATCACTACGAGGGACTAGCCGATTTCTAGCCCAAATACCACGTGTCATGATGACATGCAACAAGTACCCTAGCGTATGTCATGCCAAGGGCAGCCCGGGGCCAGATTGCTGCAAGAAGAAATGTGTCAATGTTTTGACAGACAGACTTAACTGCGGCGTGTGTGGCAAGAAGTGCAAGTACTCAGAAATTTGCTGCAAAGGCCAGTGTGTGAACCGTTTATCGGACAAGAAGCACTGTGGAAGCTGCAACAATAAGTGTAAGAAAGGGAGTTCATGTGTGTATGGAATGTGCAGCTATGCATAAACATGCTGCAAAGCTTCTAGACGTGGAAATGAAGTTATTGGAAGACGGGCAAGCCATTCTGTTTGATGGTTTTGCCAGATTTTTTGTTCTTTCTGTTAGTTCGTGTTCGGTATGGAATAAGAGAGCCGCACGTGCCTTCGGGATTTGTCCTAATTAGGATTGTAACCTTTTTCTCTATATATATATATATATAAGTTGTAACTCTGTTTTTAGTGTTGAATAAAAAATCAATGCAACCGTTCTCACATAAACATATGCAAGTTCTCGAATCATGTAAAATTTTTATATTTATCTTTTAATTTTTCCTTTTTCTTTGATTATTCATTGCACAAAATCACAACAGTTTGTGATCAGTGTGCTCATTGTTAATGATTCACTAAGCGTTCCGTTCTTTGAAGTTTAAAACTCATTTCTTTTGATTTACACCATCTAGAATTAGTCGGTTAGTACAATACAAAGATGATTTTAGTTTGGACAGATGCGAGACACAAACAAATTAACTTACCAGACTTTTGTACTAAATCAGTTGACATGAACATGACTAAAAATGATATGCACTCAGACTAACATATGATCGAGATGAAGCCGATAATACATAATTGTAAATGGTTAAAACACGAATACAACATTCATTCTCCATTCATATATCTCTTTTTCTTTAGTTAAAACTCTAACCTCTAAATTTCCAACAATTTGAGGGTGTGCTTATTAAAATTTGTCAGATTCGCCAAAGTTTTGACTTTAAATACCATGTAATATTTCTATTTCGTTACCTGAAAAAACATGAACACACGGTATCAAAATTGTGAGGCATTGGCATACCTTTCCCAACAAACCCTAAACATAAATACTCGTGGTTGAGGCATTGTCATACCTTCTCTCTCTCTCTCTCTCAAGGAAAACCCAAACTCGTTGATGCAGACATCCGTTGGAAAGGAGAGATCGGCAACAGAAGCGAAAACTTGTCAATTATCAGGTAATGGCTGTGAGTGTGGCTCAGATTTTGGTCTCGAGAACTATACTATTTTACTTAGTACAAGTAGTTCACAATCCTACAGTGAAGATGGTAAAACGGAGATGGAGTGGTGCCTCTTTAACCTCGGAAGCGGAGATGACTGCATAAAGATCGAGGTGGAAAGACTAGAAAAGCTACTGGAACGATATAAATAGATCGGTAGGGGAGTCAGGTTTGGTTCTAAAAGGGATCATCGTTTTCCATCACGTGGGCATATTTAATTCTCATTACACGTGTTATAATTTCCTGATGCTCCTTCACTTCCCAAGCTTTTAGATTGCCATTGTTGGTGTTTTTCTAATACCAGCCTAGGTCAATATTTTACGTTAACTTTGCTGGATACTATATTGTTTTTTTAAAAAAAAAAATCTAAATGTGAAATAGTTTACGAAGATGGTGGAAAATCGACATGTTTATCAGTTAACAAAGATGGTTGGAGTTGTTAAAGAAACCGCATGTAAGAATTTTTATTGGATGGATCAACACATTTCTATTAAATTATTCTATATCAGAAGAGTTTATTATTTGGGGAGGGAATGTTTTCCAAGCTACCTCCCCAAAGATTTGATTGATTCATTTATATAGATAGATAACTTCAATATTTACATGAGCATATTGGCAGTTAACTTATACAGCTTGTGTCTCAAAAAGGAGGTTTTTCGCCTTTAAGATTGCACAAAACGTATTTGAGGGCCACTATGTTCACATCCCCGACTTATAATCGGAGTGGTCTCGTGCGATCTCATGCGCGGCCATCATTAAGTCGGCTGAATGTGTAATATAATTCAACTTCTGTAGTTCTTTGTGGTAAAAATAGACCACTTGTTGGTGTGCATCCATATGCTATTGGAAGAAAACATATATATTCTAGGAGCCTACGAGAGGATATAGTGTTGAGGCAAAAATTACATTCAATTTAACCTAGAAGAAGCTTGATGATTCTAATATTTTGCATGCAAGCAATTGAAGAGGGCTCAATCATCAGGAAACGTCAAGTGGAATTTTCATGCAGTGAATATTATTGTGTTTCTCGTTTGCTGAAATTTCTTTTGTGTTTCTTGGACTTCGATTGTGAATTGATTGTTCATTTGTGCTTGATAATTGGTCAAAAATATTAGTTCACATACAAGTAACTATTGATTCACATTACTTACCGAAAAAAAGACTAGAGATTCACGTCATGCTTCAATGAACAATAAACGAAATATCTGTTTTATTACCCATTTTAGGTTTTGTTTTTCATAATGCATTTGGCTTTTCTATCTAACCCAGAAAACAAAAAACAACAAAATAAAAACACACTAAAATATAAGTACGGATGTGGGTTTCTTACGGTGTCAAACTGGATTGTGTTGAAGTGCAAAAAGTTGATTATAGAGTGGAATAAGATAGAAGAAAAAGAAAAAGAAAAAGTGGGTCATAGTTCACTTTACTTTGGTTGCTCTCAGAAAAGTCTATTCTCATTGCTTTGAACTCCATGTGTTACTGGTGCTTTTGCTCTCACTTTTCTCAAGTACCATATACCAGCTCCAATTCCAATAGCCCCAGCAACTGAAACTGCAGTCACAGATCCTACAGCATTCCAAAAATAAATTATTAACTTGATAGATAAAAAAAAACCTTGCAAGATAAAAATACTCGAGAGATTTTAAACCATGAAAAATTGATAGATAAAAGTACTCGAGATTTTAAATCATGAAAAGTTGATATACCTGCAACTACTCCACTCCTCTTCTGCGGGGAAAAATTGTGATCTGCACATGGGGGCAAGTAAATTCAATAGGATAACATTTTGATTATCCGGGGAAGGGTGTGTAGTGTTGTACAAGTATGAGCTTGCATCTTTATTGTATAACGTGTTTTGATGTCGCGTGAGTCTAGATTAGAATAAATAATATTGTACAATTTCGGTTTGCAACATTAGAAATGGTATCAAAGCTATTGACCAAAATGGTATGAAAGCCAAGTAGACCTTTGATATATTGGTGTGTGTGAGGTTTGAACATTATTGTAGAATTTGTTTTAAAACTGTGACAATCTAACTAAAATGGATAATATTGTATAATGCAAATTCGAGATGTTATAAATATAATGTCTAATTAGTATAACAGTATCCCCATCTCTTCTAACTTTGTAGCTGGCTGCCTTTGTTTCAAATCCACCAGTAACATCTGTCTATGACAGTAATTTTACTCGCTCTAATAGGGAATTAAAACAAGCACAAGGAAGAAGAAAACCTCATACATACCTTTGCAGTAAGTGGTGACATTTCTTTTATCACAAAAACACAAGAAACTTTGTGTTCGTGTATCAAATCCACAAGTCCCACCTCCCTTAGAAACATCCTGACATTGCAGACAACGTGTAGTCACTGGAATATCAAAATCAACCCTGATTCCATACTCAGGGACCTGATCATAAGGAGGAGTAACACCAAGATTTCTCCAATACACACTGGTATAAGTAGCACAATACTTGAGCATCAATCTCAACGATTCAGTCGCTTTTGGGTAGTAAGAACAGCAAGAACTGCCACGCAATGCCGATGCACATTCCGGCAAGTGCCGGCAGAGATAACTAGCACTGTCACAGGTTGAATCACACCGGTCTGGGAAGCGTTCGCAGAAAATTGGTTTTGGCTCAATGATCACATCAGTTTCACTGCAGTTGAAGAAAAGGTAGTCATTTTGAGGGGAGAGAGAGAGATGGGTGCTTGTGTCTAGGCTAAATGGCCTGGTGGGTCTAAAGTTGTTCCCATCTTGGCAGTTCCACAGGAAAGGGTCATAAACAAGAATGTGGGGGTCGGAGTAGCTTATATTTCGAACAGGGTATCTCCCTGAAGGAGTTCGAAGCTCGAGCTGTTCTGAGTTAGAACAGACGAGGATGTGTCGATAGAGTGGGCTGCCGCAGCCATCGTCTATGCCGAAAGGATAGTTTATTGGAATGTCACCACAAGAGGTTCTGCACAGGCTTGATTGAGTTTCTATGAGGCTTAAACATGGAAATATGAGTACAATCACTAGGATAGACAAAGAAAAATTATATGAGAAACTTGAGTTAATATCTGAGATGGATCTGTTGGTGAATGGAGAAGCCATTAGAAATTTGATAGAAGTTATCAACTGTGATATCAAGCAAGATTTCAGAGTGAGAGGAAAGGAGAACCATAATTAAATTAAAGCATTGGAGGAGGAATCTCTGAGTGTTTCTTTTTTGCAGCTTGCTCTTTTTCTTTTCTGTTGGATTTTTTTTTTTTTGGTTTAATGGCCAAGAGTGTAATTTACATCTTGCTTTTCCTGGTTTGGTGCTTATGCTTTATGTTTTTCTCTTCTTTAATTACTTTCTTTATGATATAAGCCTTGGCATTGGGCCAGCAGACCATTGGTCAAGCTGGCTAGGCCCACCCCCATGGCTCTTCGTGGGCAGCTTGAATGCCTACGTGGAGGCTAAAATTTTAATGTGGCCTACAACTTTCTTTAGATGAATAATTTATGTCTGTCTTTGGTTTAAATTTTTTTGAATATTTAAATTCATAATTATTTTAGTAGGTATATTTAAGGTGAAATATAAGCCACATAACAAAATCAATATTTTAATTACATTAAGATTAAAATTAACAAGAATATAGAGTTCAAGAAAATAAAACTGAAAAAATAGGTCGAAGTAATTGAAAATTCAGCTAGAATGAGGGAGAGGAGAGTATGAAATGTTCATATTTTTATATATGAATAAAAATATTTTTTTGTCAAATAATATCTTAAATTTTCTTTTATCTTTTTCTAAAGTTTTAATCTTATAATCTTGTAAGACATATGACAAATGGGTTCTAAGACGAGTGGGGCCCTTGGTGAGCAGGGGTAGAATCGTCCCTGCCTGCTAATGACCGATTAAAATTGACCATGGGCCATAAATTCCTACGTTGCAACCTGGCCCAAGGACCATTAAATGACTAGAAAATAACTGAAGGCCCGGACCACAGGCCTGAGTAGACACGGGTCCGGACTCCGAAGACATTGGACTGTATAAGCCCGGAGCACTGTTAACCTTGCATCGATATCAACGGATGGCAGTGGACCGGAACGGAGGTTGGGAGAAATAGTCTTCACTTTCGTACCCGCTTAAAAAATATTCATTCATCTCTGGTTCAAGGGAGGAAATTTTAATCGTTATTCTCACCTCGTAGGTAAATTTTGATCCCCGTCTCGCCCATAACAATTAATTTTCTATAATTTTAAGAAAAAAATTAAAAAAAGAATAAAACCTCACAAATAGATTTGTAAAAAGGATGAACACTCATTATATAACAAATAGATCAAACATAAAAATTCACAAAAATAATATGTATAACAAATGCGTGTTTCACTTAATTATATATTACGGGTTTAGTAAGACGGAAATGAGTTTCGGTTCATTTACGTTTCTATCCTTCATATGGGTTTATACGAATATTTTCGCATATGATCATCATTTAATACGTATGATTAATCTCGATCCAAACGAGATGTGTTTTGATGAATAAACATTTTATCCTGATTTAATGTCATCCCTATTATATGTGCTCGAAGGAAAGTAGGGGGAAAAGAATATTTGAACAAAGTGGTGATAATTGGCCTTTTTTTTTTGTTTTGGGGGAGGCTTAGGAAGACGAAGGGAAACATGGTTTCTGCCACTTTTAAACCATGAACATGATTTGAAATGTCTAATGGACACTTGAGTCTTGTTTGAATGACGGTAATTTTGATCGAGTGATAATTGCATTCTCAAATCATGGTGGGCCTTATTGCTGCTGCCTCCAATGCCCATTATTTCCTGTAATGGGCTAAAACAATTAATACTTGGGCCGAAGCCCATTATACTAAGCTATCATAGGACTGCTGCCTGTGTTGTGTACATGTATTATTCTTTGCCACTTCCTCAGTAATAATAGCAAACACTAAATAACAGATTGTATTGCATGTAATTATTTTGGGAAACTAGAATATCAATTGATGTGCGAATTACTCAACCCACCCTTGTACTTTACGAAACCTGAAAACTCTCCAAGTGATAGAATACATGGAAGATTCCTCATTTGATTCCTTAGTAAGATTAGGTTTTAAGGAGTCGTAAAACTTTGAAAAAAAAAAAATCATAAAGTGCCAAAGCAGTAGTCACAATTTCGCACCACGTTACTATTAAAAAAAACGATGATTTCTTTGAATTCTCGTTGTCAGCAAAGAAAAAAAAAACTTTTTTGGAGAAATAAAATGTCAGCAAAAAGACTTAGAGAAATGAAAAACCGAAATGGACTTTTGAGGATCAAATTTTCTTCTATGAAGTGGTGTGAAAGGTATCTTTGTTAACTGTTGTGTTTTGTCTTCCTTTTGGCGTACGCAAAATGCTGATTTGCATCCTCAAAAGTCTCCCTTCTCTCTTGTCAATCTCTTTCCTCCAACCCACCATGCTTGGGAATTTCAACTTTACACATTTCATAACAAAAAAGTATACTAAAATATCACTTCTTGATTCCGTACTTCATTTTTCACTCAATAAAATACACTATGTGTAAATTTAATTTAATTTTATTATATTTTGTTCTTTTATACAATCAATGGTTTTGGAATATTCAAATCAAATTTATCGGTGTAAATTAATTTTTAGTAAGATACCTTCGTGATACTGTGTCATTTGCACTCTCTCTCTCTCTCTCTCTCTTCAAAATTTGCATTCTCAATTTTTCGAAAAAAAGAGAATGGATGAATATTTTCAGGTTGCTTTTATTTTCTGTAGGCTGCGTTCTTGAAAACCACGACTTGTAGAGGGGGGTGGGGTGTTTTGGTCCAAAGAAGTGGCACTAATTTCAAACCTTGGTTGCAAAACACTCAGAAGATACCTCAAAGGCTAATTATTATAAGAGTAATATTTGATAGATAAATTTACGGTACTCTAAATTTATGCTTTTAGAAATAATATAAATGAAGTAAAACACAAACTAATAAGAATTTACGCATGTTACTTTGCAATTGGCAAAAATAATGAAGGTACCGTATTGAACAATTATTTTTATTGTTTTATTAGGACGGGTTATATTTGTGAATATATACTTTACCGTAGACTAATTAGTTTCCTATTTCATGTCGAGCTAGAGTTTTTCTAATTTTTTTTTATTTTCTTAACTTTGTTATAAATAGGTTAGCAAGCCACAAGACACAAGGAACTTCCATTATACTATATCAATAATAATATCCAAAATAATTTTTTTTTATTTTTTCTTATAAATTTGAGGTTTCTTGTATATTGTCTCATGAATTTATGATCGCGTGTGATTGTTCGATACATTAAAAAATTATGTTTTTTTTTATGTCCCATCAACATTGCATACGTAAATTAGGTAGGGCAAGGATTGTATTATTGTGAGGTTTCTATATATATAATATTATTTAACTTAATTTACTGACCTAATTACTTAAAATTATTGACTTTACAATGACTCTCAGTATTCGTTAGAACCCGCTTCTAATCTAATAATTATGTTAAATTAGATAACAAATTAGAACCGATAACAGTATTGTATATACTTCCATTGTCGCAGCCTTCGAATTCATTGAAGTCCGTAGTCAAAACTCAAAACACCGGTTTCATGCATGCACTATAAAGCATTAAGTGCCCTTTTTGAAAGGAAAGGTGGGTCTTGATTGATATTGAAAACTTCATTTTGGACACTTATAGATGAGATGTGTCCCTCTCAGACGGCGCATGCATGAGGAGTAGGTAAGTGAAACTGTTTTGTACTTCTCTTGTTGTTGCTCTTTTACATCAGCATGGTGCGGTGCACCAGACAGATGCAGTAGTTTAACGCAAGCCTGGTTAGCGTTAGTTATACGTATGATGTATCCGAAACTTGCATCTGTAAATCCAAACTCCGTGTTGTTGAAACGATTATCCACTAAAAAACCTTCGACGAGTTTGTGATCATAAAATATTTATTTCATGAACACGTCTGTTGTATGTTTGTGTATACAGATACATATGCAATGTAATGTAAACTAAGACACTAAAAAACTCAACAAAGCATAGAAAAAGAAGCTTGACAAAAGAATCAAGTTGTCTTTGCTTGAATGAACAAAGTTTCTTGGTTACAGCCCAAAACCAAACCTTTTACTTGAGTCGTATGAATAAGTGAAAAGTAACCCATAGTTCATCATTCTGTACGCAAAGTGTCTCAGCAGAATTCAAAGCCATTGCCTTCAACTGTCTGCTAGTTTTTTTAATAATGAAGGTGCAATCCCACCTAACCATAACACTAATTTTCTACACCATGCAACTAAACCACGTGGGTGGTGATATATATGGTCAATAATAATCACGCGGTCAAATCTCCTTTAGTCTTCAAACTTAAATTTTAAATTCTTTTAATATGATTTAGATAAAGAGCCAGATATTAACGCGCGGTTCTTTTATCAATAAGTGTTAGGCAAGTTAAACATTTTTTTTTTAAAAATAACAAAATGGCAAATGATACATCAGAGAGTGGATAAAATCAAAGATGAATATAGGAATTAGGTCTAGGAAGGCAAACCATTTGCACTAATCTTTATGGAGCAGTTCTTTATCAGAGAAACTATAGGGGAGGAAGAACTCAACCCATAGGTACAATTATACAAGTGATCACTATAATTAGCTGATACTATGTAATTGTTAAGTAGTTTTCCAAACTCTATGGGGGATAATCGAGATGGTGTTTTTAACTATGATGACTTTGTTTTTTATTTAACAATATTGTTGGATCATGTCAACTGCCATATCATTTAGATAACGATAACATTGCTTTTCAATTATTTAGTAGATGGCGAACAGAGAAGATGGGAGAAGGACTAAATACATATTGCCTAATAGCTGCTGCTAAGGCAAACCAATGGGGGTCATGGTGTTGCAGTGTGAGGAGGAAAAGTGTTTTTGATATTTGACAAAAGAACCCAACAACATATTGCAACCTGAGAAATTACAAGATGCACCTGCTGATTGATATAGTTAGGTTGTCTCATTAACCAAAAATAAAATTATAAAAAGTAGGACTTTTTTTGTCAATAACATTGTAATATTGTAGTAAAGAGATAAG